ACAGGTAATTAATTCACCTAGTTGGCAAAATGAAGTGCCAGAAACCCAATAAAACATTAATTTAACTTTTCTTTTAATTGAATACCACGAATTTGTCTGGAGCCAATATCGATTATTATTTGTGAATGCAGCTGCAACAGTCTGGTTTAATGGTTGGAATTTGGGTCGGCGTAGAGTGGGATTTCCGTTACAAAACCATTGGGCAACTTTGGAGTTGCTTAACTCACAGGCTAGAATAGCAGAAAAACGCATTTGCGGCGGTTAAATTTTCAAAATTTTCTCTGGCAGGGCGAGGCCCCCATACCCCGCGATGATTGATTGGATCTAATTGAAGTTGCTGTATTCACGGGCTGGAATAGCAGATACACGCATTTGCAGCAGTTAAATTTTCAAAATGAAATAGGGTTTAACGCCCTACTGTTCTGCTCAAACTGGGTTAATGAAGTCGGGCATACATCATTCAGTATTATGAGGGAAATTTTGCCCGGACAACGGCGCTACGGCATACTCTTACATGGAATTCCAACTGCCAATTTATCTTTTACATGCACGCCCATGTGTACACGAGACCTCAGTTTTTCATCCCATCCGAACAACTATACGCTGTCCCTTGCCAGGCCCTCGGTCCTGCACCACTGCACCGATGAACTTTCTCGACTAATGCTGGGATCGAGCACGGAACCTCCAGGTTAGCGAGCAAACATCTTACCCACTGAGCCACCGTGGCTCCCTGACAGGCTACCCTATGCCTTGCCACATACAAGTGGGGGAATCGAAATCAGGCCACTTGACTCAATGACAGACGTTATATGATCGGTTGCTCACATACTTATTTACCAGCTTACGGGCAGCTGTGGGAAAATCCGCTCGTTTGATTTCATGGACAAAAACCCGAGATTCACCGCGTAAATTTAAGATCCCGGGCAGTTGATATTTAAAGAAAATGACCTAAATGCGGAAACACCACATTATGCTGCTTATCCCCAATTACTATGTAAGGAGTCGATAATCCGCAGTTCAATATTTTCCCGCAATATGCCATTCAGAGAGCAATAAGGGAATTTTAAGAGGTTGTCGCTCAGCTATAAATATACTCTTCAAAAAAAAGTAGGGGATATTCAGAAACAATACAAAACTGCGGAAATGCGCTGTTGTTTTTATTAGAGGTAACCAGTGTATGTTAATAAAAGGCCAATTGCCTACACATGAACATAAACAGTTCAGATGGGCGGCTTATCTGACGGGCCCCAGAGATACACCGTCAACAGTGAAAATGGATGTTTTTGATTTTTGTCTTAATAATGAGTAATTGCTCCACCAATCCTCAGACATTCGGCAATTCGTTGTGGCATGCTCCTAATCAACCGTCCAATCAAGATTTGGGGCAATCTGGCCCACTCCTCTTGCAGTGCCACGGACAATTCTTGCAGTGTTGTCGGTTGACGTTGCCATCGACGAACACGTCGTCTCCCGATCAAATTCAACGTAACACACTAAAGCAAAGATACGCTAAACAGTAAATCTTATGCAAGAATCGATAGGAAAGCAAACATGGACAGATAAACCAGCACACGGCAGTTTTCATCAACCCTTCCTTGAAGTGACAAATTTGACAATGAACTCCTCCCATGTGTATGGCGCTATCGCGTATCGCATGTGCAGCTCAGTGGTTCTGTTGGGGCGATAAGTTCTTCATCTGTGAACATACTCTCAAAGCATGTCAAGTATCCATGACTATTTATCATATCACAACCTGCATATGGTATTTGGATTTCAAAATCCCCTATATACTTTTTTTTGGAAGAGTATATACTAGTATTGACATAGGCACGCGAATGTATGGTCTATATATATAATTATATGGGCTATTATTTAAAAAATAGTTTGAAAATTCCTTTAAGAAAGGTAGGTTGCCAGGCAACGAAAATGGTTTCACGAATTTAAATGATGCATGTAATATACAAATCGGATGATAACTTTTGTAGTTTTTGCGTTTGCAAGGTGCGACAAAGTGAAAAAAGGGCCATAACTCCTGAAGAAATAGACGGATGTTATTGTAATTAAAAAGGATTCTTCATCTCACTAATGTAAACAACATAAGCCATGCAATTTCAAAACAATCAGATATGACTAATATGAGATAATAAATTTAGTCTGTAGTAAAGTGTTCACAAGAAATTGGGGACGGCGGACTACGGACTACGGGACAGTCCCGCAAAATGTTTCCAAATCCCGCGTCCCCGAAAACCAGCCAAAATGTCCCGCAATAGCTCACATGGAAGACTTCTATTACAGTAATATGCGTGAATCTAGTCTCGTGATAGTCTATTTGAGTATTGGTCTTGTCAAAATACTGACAGACCCACCACAAATTGCTTTAGAAGGTTTTTTGGTACCAAGTTGTAGATATAAATGACCTTTCCACGTGCATCATACTGAAATCCACCGGCGTGGTTCCCCCTTGTCACTGGTGCAGGACAACGTATACTCATTCGGATGAGACGTAAAAGAATTCTTGGCAGCTGGATTAGCGCTGGTCTCGGGCAGAATTTCCCTTATCTATAGGACACGATATGGCATATGCCTGTCTTCATTAGCCCAGTCGGACGTTAAACCCCATTTCGTTTACCTTTAACTCAAAGAAATAAATATTTTAATGTTATAAACATAAGAAATGGAAAATATTGCTCGCCGCCATGACAAAAATCAACTATCCGACAACACCAGGACCGCCTCCATACTCCAAAAAAAATAAAAATTAAATAAATATTTTTAATCCACATCTTATGTTAAAAAAAAATATTGTAAAATCTCAACTACCAGTAGAAATCTCAGTTCTAAGACAAAACATTTTCTAAAATCTCCAGCTATTCACTTACATATTGCAACTTGGAAAACGTACTTTTTTCGTATGCTGGGCCTTTATTATAGAATAAACAGCCAAAGCCAATTATTGTCAGTGGGCCATTTCAAACTCAAAACAGTCCAGGGAGAGAGAGAAAGGAGAGAAACAGACACACTATAATTCGATTGCACATAATGTCGTTAGCTATGGGGGAAACCAGGAGAAAATCCGCGAGTTTAGACGGCGAATCTATTCCTTGTGACGTACAAGTGGGTAATCGAAACCACGCCAGTTGACTCAATGACAAAACTTAACCAATCGGGCAACCTCCACCCCACCCCCTTACCAAAAGAATAATAAAGAATCACAGCAACCGAGAATATTAGCTGACTACTGTGGTATTTGCCGTGACCGAACGCCATGCATTTTATGTACAATGGAAAGCTATTGGAGGACGATGGATGTATCGAATTGCTTGTTCCTTTATTTGAAGGTGGGGATGGATGATCGAATGGTTAGCATGTGCGCGCTGTATCAAAAGGTCTGTTATTGAGTCAACTGGCGTGGTTTTGATTCCCCGGTTGTACGTGACAAGGAGTATAGTCACCTATCCAACCTCGTGGGTTTTCTCCTGGCCCCCCGGTTTCCACCCACTGATAAAGACCACTAAAACGCGCATGCAAATTATTGTAATAGAATTGAACCATGTATTAGTCTGGAAATGACCTAGTTTGTATAGAGTGCACGTTAAACCCCATTCCCCCCCCCCCCTCTATCTCTCTCAATCTATATTATATACTTGATTTTATTGATTATCATTTGAATTCGCTTTCGCTTTATTGTCTTTGAATTATTCAAATTCAAATATTTATCTATTATGTATAACATGATGGTGTAAAGGTATCTTGTATTATTAATATAGCATGACCATGGTGGTCAATCAGGGAAAGTTAAAGATGCATATTTCATAAGATTTAGATAAAGAGCCGACAGTTATCGCAATATAGTTTAAAAAATAGATAATGAAAGGGGAATATGTTTAAAGTTTCTGTCAAGTTACTTCATTCTGAGAAGAGGAGTTATCGTCGTTTACAGAAGAGCTTAGTCTTGATGGTCATTTTTGAATTAAATCATAAATCTGTTAAAAATCAAAACCGTCCGAAGTTATGGAGAGTTGATTATGGGCCTGGTATGTAAATACATATCACATTAATTTTTTATAGAACATTTGAGGTCAAAGGAACGATCTGCAATATGCAAATTTAGCTCTAAAAAATGTATCTTTAACCAGCATAACATCCTTTATACTCAGTTATTATAAAATCTCAATGTTTCACAACATTCAGCATGGTTAAACATTGGCGATAAAATCTGAAAAAGTTTCACTACCTTAAGCATAATTTAATTTTAGCGATGAACGATTAATGTACATGGATGACAATTTGGCGGCCATTTGACTGTGACTTAAAAATTTCATTCAACTTCTCGAAACGGTTCAGTCGAAAAAAATTAATAATTTATGTATTTTGTTTGAAACAAAGGTTTTTTTTACAGCTACAAAAGAAATTGTGTTTGTTTTTTCGAAATGCAAGATGATACTGATTTCATACATGGGGTACAGATACAAAGCAGGCTGATAGTATGAATATTATATGACTTGTTGCTTTGTATTTATATTTATTTATATTGTTGCTATGTTTATCCTAAAACATTCGTGATAAATATAAATAGTTTGATTGTCTATTGTTGCTATGTTGAAAAGTGAAGTATCAACATTATGATGCATACTGCCTCAGTTTTTTTGTTTTTAAAGATAATGTCCCGCAATAAAGATGGTCACCCTAACTACGGACCGACGGAATGTGATATACGACCACATTTCTATGTGGGCGTATAAAAATGCTAAGAATATGCCAATTTTTAGTCATTTATCTACGGTCTCACCAATCAGCACGCACGCCGTCGGGCAGGCCTAGATTAAACTAAATTGAAAGTAGATGACAGTTTAGAGAGTATTTCCCCGATTGTAGTTATCGAAATTGTTGCTATTTTTTTTTATTAACTTTACATACCAATCATTGTTATTGGTTCTCGTTAAATGAAGTTTATTATTTTGGAAATAAATCAACCTTTATACGTTTATTATGATTGTAAACAAATTGTGTTAGAGAGTATACAAAATGGCTGAAAGGTATAGATAGATTTACGATGTTGTTATTTATATTTATTTATTTTACAACTTTGCATATGTATTCGTATGTTAACAGCCATTATATAGGACAGCTCAAAATATCATCAATCAGTACTATTGAAGAAACTATGGACGCGATTGTCATGCAGGCATTATTAGGTCACAGTCTATATGTTGATATTTGTCTAATATAAAAAAAGTTGTTTTCTTATTATGATGTTATCGTCATATTGATATCGTGTGGCTGTCAGTGCAACGTTCACGATACCATTATTAATCATATCACCGACTTTCATTTCATCATTTTGGATAGTGAATAAAATACTTTAGATCAAATTGGGTACATACATGCTTGTGTAATGTTAGATTCGAGAACATCACAAATTGCAAAAAACTGTGTGGTAAATCTGATGTTTGTTTTTTAGGAACTAGGCCTAGCCTAATGTGTATGTTTAATTAGACATAAAATTATCTTATTTTTGAGAAAGTCACATACATTAATAAACAAATTAAAGTGACTCAGTTTCGCAAATGGAAAATAAAAATAAAGGGTTCTAAGAGAACCACTGAGCTGCATGTGCAACACGCAAGAGTTGATGAAAACTGCCGCGTGCTGGTTTATCTCTCCATGTTTGCTTTCCTATTGGTTCTTGCATAAGATTTACTGTTTAGCGTATCTTTGCTTTAGTGTGTTACGTTTAATTTGATCGGGAGACATGTTCGTCGACGTCAACGCTAACCGACAACACTTCAAGAATTGGCCATGGCACTGCAAGTGAAGTGGGTCAGATTGCCCCAAATCGTGATTGGACGGTTGATTAGAAGCATGCCACAACGAATTGCTTAATGTCTGAGGATTGGTTCAGCAATTACTCATTATTAAGACAAAAATCAAAAACGTCCATTTTCACTTTTGGCGTTGTCGAGTGAAATGGGGCCGTCCGATAAGCCGCCCATATGAACTGTTTATGTTCATGTGTAGGCAATTGGCCTGTTATTAACATACACTGGTTACCTTTAATAAAAACAGTAGTGCATTTCTGCAGTTTTGTATTGTTTCTGAATATCTCCTACTTTTTTTTAAGAGTATAATTATTGACAGTACACATGTTCCAATACTCTTAAAATGTATATTGAATAAAAGAAACAAATAGTGACCTGTTAACGGCAGCAATTTCCAACATTTTGAATAGAACAAAACCTGGAACTATATTTTCAAGATGGGAATATGTCTTGCCGATTCTGAATTAGTCCTTACCAAAAACAATCTTTTTTTACATTTTTGGGGGGTAGACTTTCTTCTGTAAAAATACCATAAAATCTGATAAACACACCATTTATCTTAAATAAAACAATATTGACAAAACTAATGCATGGTACATGTAATTATGATTATATTTGACATTTTTTCTTTCTGTAAGCTACATATTCAATATTTGAATTATAATCATTTGATTAATTACATAAATTTCATTTGGTTACCATTATTTGTGTTTATTTTATATCTATTACCATTTTAAACTAATTTTTAAAAAATTGAATACAATTTTTGTGTTGTTGGGCTTACTTGTACATGTAGTTCAATGTATCATTTCTAAATTAATTACCTTTTGAAGTGTGAATGTATGTGCTTTTGGAAATCTACTGCCAAATCATGGTTTCCACCTCTATTTTTTACACTACCCTACTGCATTGCAGCTCTGAGTGGTTGACAGGTCTGATGTTTTTCAACCCTTTTCATGGACATTACTGAATGTCACCTGATGTTTTGATGTATTTAGACATGGTTATCAATTTGAAGGGTATTGAAAATATGGACAGATGCAAGTGGGTAATACAGATAAAGCACTTAGTGTCTCATCAGTAAATAGGTCTATATTTAACGCAACCTGAACACCACTGCCCATAACTTAGATATACCGGTATTCAAAATAGAGAGGGGATCTGAGATTGAGTTAGCATGGTATTACACCAGTTCTACACCATGGTAGCTTGTATAAAGACACTACACCATATCTGGACTTGAATTTGAGCCAATTTGTAAAATTTTTTTTTAGTGAGAAGAAAGATGAAGGTTCTGGAGAGAGTTGGTGGGGTAGCTGGATCCAGGCAGCAAAAGATACGGTAAACATCTATTATTTCTATGTGCATGTATAATGATCAGCATGAGAGAATAAGAAACCTTTTGTCATTGTGAATTTGATTTTCTATTGTCTCAATTTTGGGTATCATTTTATGAATTTTTGGTACATTTTATATTAGATATTTGCATTTATATAGGCCTGCAAATCATACAGGGATATTTTGTCCTGACCCTTGTTAATGTTTGTTGGTCTGTTCATTCACAGATCAGAATGTTGCTGGGATTATGTAAATTCAGAGAGTTGTGCAACAATTTTTATATGCCCACATTGAAATATCTGATTGGCTTTAAATTTATATGCACTGATTAATTAAGGTCATGAGACAAAGAATCCTATTGATTTTCAACTATTTTTGATAATTACTGCTGGAGTTATGGCCCTTGAATACTTTGAAAAATCTTGTGGACGCTCTAGAGGCTAAAGTTAATATCAGATTGACTTTAAATTTATACACAGTGTTTAAGATCATAAGACGAAGAATCCTATTGATTTTCAGCTTTTTCCGATAGTTGAATATTGCCTAATTTTTATTTCAGTCTGCCTCGGCAATGGAATTTGTTCGGAGAGATTTAGGCGAGTTCACATGCACAGTGCAAGCTGATACACAACATGCAGTTTCTGCTACTTCAACAACTGTGAAAGAAACATTGAAGGTTTGTGTGCAGTACTCAACTCATAGATTCTCAATTAATAGAGTAAATTGATGCTGGACATGCATAACTTTCCTCCCCATATAGCATAAGTGAGTAACCATAAAAAATTAATCTTAAAATGACCTAATCTGTTCTATATTATTGTCATTGTTTAATGTGCTTTTTTAGGCAGAGAATGCAGCAACTGCTAAAAGTCGTATGAAGGAAGGGATCAATTCATTGTTTCAAGGGTTGAGTAAAGCTCTAACAATACCACCAGATGATGATGGACAGAAACCAGTTCTAGTGGTATCCTCAGAATCGGCAATCTATGATAGGTCAAAGGTCAGTAATATTCTTAATATCAGTAGAGGAGATATATAGGTACAGTGTAGTTGCATCAGTAAAATCTTAACAAAAAATTGGTCAAAATATATAGGTACAGTGTAGTTGCATCAGTAAAATTTTAACAAAAAATAGGTAAAAAAAAGAGTAACATAAAGACTGTATTATTTATATTATCAGTAGATAATAATAACCTCTGTACACCAACAGAATAATATTCTTTGAATCCTGCATTTCATATTAGGATAGTTAAAGCTTTAAAATGAAAGATAATCAATTGGCACAAACTTTCTCAAAACTTGGATACTTTGTAATGGTGATATTTAGATTCGGTTATCATGGCATAACAAATTAATATCCTTGACAGAAACATGTTAAAGATACATTGTAATAGAAGTCACTTTTATAAAGCAATACTAAGCAGTGTGGCTGTTTACAGGCATCTAGTTTTGTATTTCAACAAATCCTAGCACTCGAAAAAAATACTTCACCCAATTTGTCTATGTTTTATTTTTAAGTTTCCACTGAAAAAAAATTATTCAGAATTCTCTGATAGATACTATTTTTGCCAACAGGTGAGATTACATGCCATACAAGTTGATCCAGGAACTTATCTAAATGAACCAACTGGTCCTCGAGAACATTTTATAGAATGGTGCCAACATTTTGATATGGAATCAAGGAAAGGTGATGTGTCCGAATTATTGGTATCCAAAGTGGAAGTTAGAGCACTTTACACAAAATTGGTGAGATACTTTGTTTTTTATGTAACCACATTCTAGTCATGTCTACCTTCGACTTAGACAAAACTAGCTGATCATCTAGATAGAGGCTGCATTCTTCATCCGATTTTAATGAAACTTTATATTTTGCCTTAATTCCATGAGATATTAAATATGGTCAAATTTAATTTTTCGCCGTCATTGCCCTTGACTTAGCCCAAATACTTCAATAATAGCTTTTCAACCAGTTGCAATAAAACTTGGATAAAGTCAAGTTTAAACATGATTTGTCAATTATTTGTGGAGTTATTGCCCTTGATTTTACCCAAGTATGTCAAAAATAGGATTTACATTATTCATGCAGTTGCCTTAATTGTTCATTAATTGTTCACTGGAGCATAAGGAATTTGTGATAGTAAATTTTACAATGTTTTCCGCAAAATTATTATTCCATTCACATTTTTACGTTTAGCTCCTGTGTTGGCATGTCCTTGCATTGGGAAAATTGCAAAATGCTGTAACCCCTTTAGAACATTTTGAATACCTTACCAAAGATTATGTAACTTAAGAAATTTGTAAGGAGTCCATTATGGCTGTAACAGCTATGTTTAGTGACTGTTCAAGAGTGGGTTTTAGAGAACTGACTGTGTTTTTACTAGAGTTTTATCTTGTGATCAGGTACCAGCCCAAGTATCACATGCTGAATTCTGGCAGAGATATTTTTATAAACTACATCAGATGGCTTTAGATGAGGCAAGAAAACAGGCATTGATAAAACGTGCTGAAAGATCAAGGACCGATAATAACTCAATAAATGGTAATGATGTCAAATGTTTTCCTTTATTAGTCTCCAACTGGTGATGAAACAGAGGTGGTTATAGGTCTTCTCTCTGTCCAGCAGGCATTTCCCACCTACTCATCATCAGCCAACACTGAGGGGTGGGGAGGGGGGTCTAACACGTGGCTTTGGATCATTGAGTCATGAGTCGAAGTCATGATCTCAAGCTTGTATGTGACAAGTAGTAGAGTCGTCTGTCCAACCCCATGGGTTATTGGGCCTCCTGTTTCCTCCCACTTGTAAAGCGAATAATTGAAATAAAATTGTACCTTGTGTTAGTCCCAACATGACCCAATTTGTGTTGAGTGGGCTTTAAACATCATCTCTCTCTCTCTCTCTCCCCAACACTAGGATCGATGCTGGGAAGTCCTGGTTAGTGAGCCAGGGCCTTGCGCACTAAGTCAGCGTGGCTCCCTAAATTGATTGAAATTTTTACATTAGATTTTCTCATGATTGACATTAAGAGATAGCTAATGTATTTGATGTATGTTGGTTTATTTTAAAGATGATTGGAGTGGAGATGAAGACATGGAAATCGTGGAATTGCCGGACATTCCAGAGGGTTCTGGTAGTCCCAAAAAACATAGATATCTTGTTGAGGAACAAACTATTACTAGATTGTCCCCTGAAAAAGATATAAAGGCTTCTGTTAGTGATAAAGAGAGTAGTAAGACCCCTAGTGCTAATTCTATACAAAAGGACAAAAAAATATTGGACAATTTGAAACAAAAATTTGTTACTGATCCAGCAGTTTCAAAAACAGTTGAAAACAAAGAAAGGGCATCCCTTCAAAGCACTGTTGAAACACAACTTCACATTTCAAAGGGTGATGATCTCCCATATGAAAATCTTGATTCCACAATAACAAAAGCGATTAAAAACGAACCTTCCCAAAATAGTGCTGAGTCTCCTGAATTTAAGGAAAGCAAGCCAACAGCGAAAACTTCCAATGTCCCTGAAAATATTAAAAATGCCCAAGACAAAGAACAGTTATTAGATTATTCCAAGAAAGCTGATTCAATTAATATACCTGAAGAACAGGATCAAAGTAAATTTGAAGATAAACTGTTGGACCAATCATATGAAACTGAAAGTAGTAATGATAAATTGAAAGTAGACCAATCCATTGGTCAGAAGAATGACCTGGTCAAACAGAAATCTGAGTCAGCTAACACTGTCTCTGAAAGTAAGGGATCGGTTGTTGAAATTCCTGCCAAGATTCCAGAAACATCTGTGGAGCAAGTTGTGGTTCAAGTAAAACCAGAGCCTATTAATGTAGCTCCAGAAGAAAGTAAGGAACCGGTTGTTGAAATTCCTACCAAGATTGGGCAAGGTGTTGTAAAACCAGAGCCTGTCAGTGTAGCTCCAGAGGAAAGTGTTGCAAATGCTGCTACCTGTAAGGTTGGTGAATTAAAGACTAAAGAAAAGGGTGATATGGTCGTCATTGGATCAGATAGAGAATCACCAACGTCAGAATCCAGTGGAAATAAAGGTATTTTAAATATAAGTTCTTAGTCTATATTTTTAAACATTGTCTATGTCTGTTCTTACTGATTTTAATATAATAACCAGGGCTCAAGATAAAGAGTGTATCCACAAAAACATTCCATATCCTATATAAGGCCACACAAAATAAATGTCTTGTTTCTCGGGCAACTGACAGCTGAAACTGTAGGGAGGGAGGGCGGTTTCTTTTTTTTTTTTTACTCATTGATGGTGCAAAATAAAATTTGGCTATTGCTGAAAATTGTTGGGGCGGGAGGGCGGTCTTTCTTTTTTTTTTTTTAAATGAGAAAGTCATTACTTGTTTACGTTTTTGCTTTCCGTTATATTCAACTTTATTGTACATACTTAAAACATAAACCCAAAATCAAGTCTACTAAAACACTGAGACTGAACACTGACTGAAAGGAAAATAATTTTCCATATTTAATTCACATAATTGAAATTGGTTTAAAATAAAATTCCATACGACTATGTAATAGCCCTCCATAAAGACAACAATATTTTTAAAAACTAAGCCTCTTTCACCAGGTGTATCAAAAATAATAATCATGGTAAACAGTATTTAAAACTAAATCTAGTATCGCCGGTTTATTTATAATTATTTACCGAATTCCAACCAATGCATGTCACACCGTGTCATCGGTATTGGAGATTGCCGGAAATACTGTTTCTTGGGATATTCGGTGTGTTTCTCAGGATATTCGGTGTTCTATCCGGTGTTTATATTGAATGACTATTTAAATCTAACTAACAACTGGTCAGTAAAACCATCAAATCGGTAATCCAATTATTATTTTCCGGATTATCGAAACTACCGTAAATGTGCTAATAATGACCCAGATTCTAAGGTATGCATTATGACGACTATCGTCATCGTATCGTATTCTTAGCTATAATTAATTAACCTGTTCTACGGTTCATTATTTTATCAATAGGATTTTCCAAACAAGGACCGACTGAAGCCGGCAATAATGAGCCGATTACGATCGAATGATGGAAATATTGTCGCCAATGACTTTTAACACGAATCAAATTCTAGTTTATCAGGGGAGGTAATTAATATCACGTGATACAAAATGGAGGTTCTTTCGATATCAATAAAAAAGGCAAATCTGCCAAACTTCGCCATTGTTCGGATAAAAAAGACAGCATGTTCATCTGAATCAGTTTTAATACATTTGAATAGATATACATGTATGGCGGATGTAGGTACATGCGGGATATTTTTTTTACGACTTGCTTGTCGATGTGCGGGCGGGCGTTACATATTTTTTTTTTTTCATCAAGACTAATAAATAGACTGCACGCGCAACCAATTTTGCGTGCGGGCGGTGCCCGAGAAACAAGTTATTTTATTTGTGTTGCCTAATATCAACACACCAATCTGATTAAAACGCAGATCCTATTTTGTTTCATTTTTTATAGTTCTAAATTTCGTTTTACTTGTCAAACTACACTAGGATCTGGAAGAATTGTTATATAGCCAGCGTTTGGTTGATGTGAGGGCAGGGATGTCACTAACTTTTCAAGTAACAGGAAATTTTGCTAAAGTAAGGGGCAGCAAATGTTTAGGGCCTCAGACCAGAATCTGCGGGCAAACGGAAGGGTGGGGAGTGTGTTATGGCGTTAGGTGCATTTCGGGTCAATATTTTACATGACAGAAAGTTTTTTTTAAAACATTTTGTGAAAATATACATTAAAAATCTATCCCAAAAAACTTTAATAATCCAAATAAGTGCTTTTCAGTCATATCTGAGTAAAGTCTTAAGATAAGCCTTATTATAGAATTGCACGTCTACCAATTTTAAAACTGAAATCCGTGAATATTAGTTTAGGCTTTGCTAAAACTTATAAAATCGTAACAATTTGAAAAATATATGAAATATTTTTAATCTTCATGATACCAGATAAAAGTCAGGCTGCATTTATTCGGAATTAGCAAATTTCTGTCTGCAAAACCGATAAATCCCGTTTTCTAATTATTGGTGTAATCGCGTGAATGAAAATCCCTGGAAACGTGACATCAGAGTTTTATTTTCCCGTAAGTGCCTCCCACATAAACAGTAATAGCGCTTATATTTCTATAACTTTTGAGTCCGACTATTTTCGTATATTGAGATCGATATCAAAGCATTATAATACAACCGCTAGTAATATATTTAAACGAAGAAGTAATCTAAAATCGCAGATTGAAAGTCAGCTAAATTTCAGTCAATCACTCAATGCCAATGGCTTCCGATTTCAAGCTCAAGTCACGTACGTGACGTAGCGTGAAACGTTTTCTGTTCACGGGAGAACTGTCAAAATCGTATAGACGTTTACTATTACTACTAGCCATGAGGAAAAATGACAGTAAGGGAACGGACCTTGTACAGTCAGTACAGGTCTCTATTTTATTAGGTACGCTCATGTACTCTGCTATTAGTATTACTACTCCTTGATTACAATATACTTATAAGAATCATGAGGTCGATTTATACAACGGAAGTAAGGGGGTCACCTCCCTTTTTGAAAGTAAAACTAGCATTGGCATAATTATGAACATTTACCGTGAGAAATAGCCTTCCGTGCGGGAGAAAGGTCGTAAATCTTTGAGTATCACGGAAAAAACTGGTTAGTTGATACATCTGTGTGCTTTGCGTTTAGGAATTAAATTAGTTTCAATTAATATAATGCCAAATCATTTTATTAAAATGAAATTGCTGATTTTTTTAGCTGAAAAGTAGCCGGAAATTGGCCTAATGTAAACAGCAAAATTTGCCGGTTGCCAGCTTCTAATGACATCCATGTGTGAGGGATTAGCCAATTAAACGGTCTGTTTCAGCAAGTTCTTGGCGTGCGATGCACGGAACTGTGGGTATTCCACTAGAAACATCAACGCTGATTGGTTATTCAAATAAATGTCTGACGTCATAGGTCAAAAGCTGCTCGTATGACCCCTGATGCGACCTCCCACGACAACTGGTCAGATCTTAATACAGAAAAGGCCATCGAAAGTATAAAAAAAAATGAAATATAGCTCTGTATTTTAATCAGATTGTGATAATACAACATGCCTGATCTTGTGTCAAATACCAAACCCATAAGAAACACAGACAAGTAGTTATAAAGATTTTAGTTCACTTGCTGTGCATCCAGTTAAAAAGATCACAGCACAAGAGTTTTAACCATTTTCATTGAGAGCAATGATTTACTACTATAAACCATAACAATACATGCTCTATCCTGTGATACATGCAATACATGTAATACATGTAATTTTATATTTGGCTACGCTTCTGATAATCAAAGCATGCAAATTCACTTCTTGCGGTTACAATTACCATCTGACTTGTGATGACACGTCTTACATTCAAATCCATCAATCCCTATGCATTACAATGAATGTCTAGTTGATGAATAATCCAACCGAATTTGGTCCAAATGAATATTTCTTAGGATTTAGGTGTAATATCACACTAGTAGTGTGGTCAAATGTTGCCTTTTGAATTCCAGCCTTAATTCATTTCTTTTTAGACCTGCTCAGATTCTAGTGCAATAATTTTATGTTTTATTTTATATATCATAGTGCTGTATCAACATTTAGATCATTGTACTTTATTAACGATTACATCATAGTGTTTTATTAACATTTAGATCATAGTGCTTTTTTATCAATAAGATCATAGCGTTTTATTAACATTTAGATCATAGTGCTTTATTAATGTTTACATCATAGTGCTTTACTAACATCTGAGAATGGTTTTATTTTCTACATCTGTCTTCTTACATGTAGCCCTATATATATGTCAGATGTTTTGTTGTTAATGCATGAACTAATGAGCTGTTAACAAACTTACTACTCTGCTTTATTTATTCTATCCTATCGGTGGTGCATGTACTGTATCTATTTAATTAGATTACCTACGATTGGTTCCAGATCTGAGTAATGAGGAAGACTGGGATAAAGATTTTGACTTGGATGTCACTGAAGAAGACTTAAAAGCTGCCGAAGAACTGGCTAAAAAGATGGGAGATAATCTGGACTTGGAGGTAATGAAATAAAACAAATATTAATTATTTTTACATGTGACAACTTCTCAAGAATGAATTGTAGGGTGTTGACAAGACAATCAGGAGCCAAAGATTTTACATGTAATAGAATTTGTGCAACAGATTCCAAATATAATTTGCTATAGTTGATACGTACATGTAACCATGTGTAACATTCTGCGCCAACCAGACTGTTAAAGGTGGGCATGCATCATTGAGACATACTATTACGTAGATCTACATTTTTCTTCCTACCCAGCATGAGTGAGACTTTTTCCTTGTAAGCCCCTATACCTGCACCACTGATAGGGGTGAAACCAGGCAGGAAAATCTTCTCTGCCAACGCAGGAAATGAACCATACTCACTGGGTTAGTGCTAAATGATAAGGCCAGCTCAATTTTTCGTCATAGGTCACCACAAGATGTAAACAGGGCTATCGCTATTCCCAACCCTAACCCCAAACCTGGACCTAGCCCCAATGCTTACACTAAACCTAACCTACAGTCTTGGCAACATCACATGCCCTAACCTTATTTACATTTCAACGACCTTGACAACAATTGTGCTGGCCTTAAAAAATAGATTTAGCCATACTCACTGAGGCACCATGACTCCTTGTGAATGATGTCAGTTTGAGACCGACTGGTCGTAAGAAGAACTGATTGCCACAAGATCAGAAAATAGAAAAAGCAGTCAGTGCATCACAGTTTTCATTAATTTGATGCTTGCATTATAAATGGTTAGCAAAGATTTATACGTTAAAATTATGGTAGGAATGTGTTGAACAGTTTCTAACATATACTGTATTTAAAATCTGTAGATGCTAATATTGCAGTTTGCTATTTTGTTTTCAGTAGAAGTTTACAGTTCATATTAAATCACAATCTGTTTTACAGAGTATTACAAAAGTTTTCTAATATCTCTGTAAAAGATGACTGCCTTCAACACATGACATCATATTACACGGCGTCAATCATTGGCTCAATGGCGTTTGCATTATTTACATAAGACGTTACTGATTCGAGCAGAATGGCGTCTTTTACTCATTTTAATACCCATTTAAACTAAAATAGGAAATAATTTTTACCTACAAATACTTCAAACTAAAATAGGAAATAATTTTTACCTACAAATACTTCAAACGTCTTTATTTATTTTCCTAATGCATAAAAAATTTCTTTTAGAATTTAATTTATAGAAGGAAAAAAGTTAATATTTGTGGCTCATTAAGTCGCATCAATGTCATCCTTATCAGTGATTGTCGTGGCCTAGCGAATATTCACTGTGGATCAGGGTGATTAAAGGTCACCGGAAAAGGTTCATAATTTTTTTAAATAATGCAAGTAATTATGTCAACATATCCTTTCCATAAGTATAACACGAACCCGAATGTCAATATTACCTGCAACAGGTAAATTTCAACGTTAGCAATTTCCGCCATTCTCCGTGGGTAGTCGTAACTTTCCGTAAATTTGACGTCATTTTAGTCCTTCTGCTCATATTCTTGTCTATATTTCTATGTGCAGAAGGACTAAAATGACGTCACGGATTGCTTATTAACGGAAAGTTCCGACTACCGACGGAGAACGGCGAAAATTACTAATGTTGAAATTTACCTGTTGCAGGTATTATTGACGTTCGGGCTCGGGTTATACTTATGGAAAGGATATGTTGACATAATTACTTGCATTATTTTAAAAAAAAATTGATGCTTTTCCGGTGACCTTTAAATCAAAGTATAATTGTATTTCTTGTTTCAGGATGATGATTGGGAGAATTGGGAATAAAATGGTTTCAATACTATGTAATAATAGTTGACTCAAGTGGTACATTCAGCATCTATTGTAATTTTACATGTAAATAATATGTACAGATTAAATATATTCTGCTTATGTCTTTCATTGTTTATATATTAGACTTATTGTATTTAAATCTGGGACCGGTTCTTAATTTGAGTCATCTAAGATTTATATTAATTTTACTAGAAATGTCTTGGTAAGAATATAGAACTCTTTTAGTCTTTATTTTAATCATTAACATGTCCGGTAGTTAGAATTTGGTTAGACATGGGTTGGTCTTCATATGACTTGAACTATTTTATTTACTTCAGACACTTAAAGTATACAGAAAAATACTAGTATTTAGACAAGCCAATTCTTTATTTTCATACTAGCACATATTTTCTTATAATATTCTTTGTAAAGTGTATAATGACATGTATGTGTATATTAAATGGAATTTTACCTGTATATGTTTCGGATGTAATATATCTGAATTAAAGAGAAAGGGTTCATGTAAACAAATCATTGTTCTTTTTATTGATAAATGTATCCTGGCTAGGGTATAGAAATGGTAACATACTTCCTTTTGTCTTAAAGTAGGTGAGGATACAGGTAGGCATAGGAATGAAAAATTTACTTACAATTAAAATACTAGACTTTTAATCTCATTTCCTCCAGACAGGTTTTCTTCAAAGACACCATTTCAACGATTTGTGTTTATAGTCTACTAAAACTTCTTTCTACATTTTTTATATGCCCACATTGAAATGGTCCTGGTCGTATATTGTCGTCGCCCCCGTCCGTTGTCACCCCCATCTGTCTGGCGCCCACAATTGCTTGTGGACGCTCTAGAGGCTCAAGTTAACATCCGATTGACTTTAAATTTATACAGTATTTAAGGTCATGAGATGAAGAAGCCTATTGATTTGCAGCGATTTTCAATAATTAATGCCAGAGTGTTGGCCATGGATCACTTTGAAATATCTTGTGGACACTCTAGGGGCTAAAGTTAACATCGGATTGACTTTAAATTTATACGCACTGTTTAAGGTCATGAGACAAAGAATCCTATTGATTTTCAACTGTTTTCAATAGTTACTGCCAGAATTATAGCCCTTGACCTCTTTGAAAAATTTTGTAGAAGCTCTTGAGGCTAAAGTTAATAGCTGATTGACTTATAGTGTTTCAGGTCATGAGACAAAGAATCCTATTCATTTTCAACTATTCCAGAGTTAACGCCCCTGATCACTTTGAAAAATCTTGTGGACACACTAGCGGCTAAAATTAATATAAATTGAGTCAACAATAAAGTTTGTGTGGGGGAGACTATATCTTATCGTTAATTCAGTCCGGTGCGAATGTTCTTAAAATGTGAATCCATTGGGTTTTCTAATGGCATTTATTTGCCATTATCTGGGTCAGTCTTTAAAATATCTATAATTTTAATCATAATTATAAATATAATTTTACATAAAATTAACTATGTACTGGTTACAGATTTTTTAATACCTGTATTTCAGTGGATAATTCTGTGTAGAAGGGTATTTGACTCCTTTAATCTAATCTAGGATGTCAAATCTTTGAATTGCCTCTACACAACTGTGATTGATATATGCAAAAGTAGTAAATTTCAACTAATTTGTGTTCCTCTACAATTTTATTTTCTTTTGTAAATCTAATATTAGTCTAGGTAACTACATTTTCTATATAACCTACAAACATTTAAGCATGCAAGCAAGCACATTCTCTTTATATGTGCAATAAATAAAATTGGCAGGATTCTAAAAGTAAAATTAAACCCAAAAAATTATAAAGCTTTATAAAAATGAGATCAGCAAAAAAAAATATAACATTTTTTAGAAGATTTACCATAAATACTGAAAATAGAATTTGTAATTAACACTGATGATTTTGAACAGTATAATAACACATGGTTATGTTAAAATGGACCACAGACAACATTTATTTAAGCGGTTGATCATCTGAGGGATTTTAAATTCATTGCAAACTACAGAATTTAGAAAATTGAATCTCTGAGAGTACTGTTAATACCAGCACCAAAATGGTTCAAGTCTATTCAATATTTACAAAGATATGATGAATTTGAAAGTTTGTCAACAATCTTCATCCTCTGCAGATGACTTACACGGGATGTGGGGAAAAAAGCCGCCTGTATGCAATACCCTTTGAGGTAAACTTTCATTGTCACACAAGAATTCCTCACTAGTCTATACTGCAGTGTCAGAAGAAAACTGCTCTTGGTGGACAGTGTGCAATTGTGGCTTCACAATTTATAAGCTCCGTTCATACAGTTGAATACAGCTAATAACAAGGATACCAAAATAAGGTATACAATAAAAAAAAATGTAACAAAAAGAAACCATATTAAAAAATCTAGTGTACATGTACTAGAAATAATAATGCATTCACATAGCTAATGAAATCATAACATTTCAGTTATATCTCTCTAATACTTTTAGTTGGAATGACTACATACATGACACAACCTTCAACATAAAAATACATTTTCAAAATGACTAGCACAGTAAAACAGTATTACTTCAAGATAAATTAGCTAAGGCTCTCACTTTAAAATTTTGCTCATTGTTTGAACATATCATTAATTTCAGGTTTGTAAGACTTTTTTTTCCAGAATATGTTCATTTTTTTTTATTGTTATCTTAGTTTAGAAATTGAGTATAAGTGTTTAGATATAAAAGCTATACATTTAACTGTAATTTGTGTTTTAGGGTAAATTCTTTATGGCAAATAAATTGAGTGACAGGTAAATTATTCTGCCAGTCAATTTCATCGCAGAATAGATAAAAAACGAGAGCCCTATTATAAATGAAAACAAACTAAATTATAAATGAAAACAAACTAAATAATAAATTATTATATACGCGCAGTCATTTGGGACCAATTTTTCTAAAATTGCAATATTCATAATTTTTGCTTACTAAATAATAAATTATTATATACGCGCAGTCATTTGGGACCAATTTTTCTAAAATTGCAATATTCATAATTTTTGCTTACAATTTTGTGATGTACTAACAAAAATGACAGGCATAATATAAAACAATTAGAAAACATGCACTAAAAATTGAAAAACAATATTTACAATTTGATATCAAATAAGACAATGAAATTAGTTGATGAATGATACAATAAAAATGAAAGAAGAATTTTTTATTTTAAAAATTAACCAAAAAATACCTACAAGTTAAAGAAATACATTAAAACTCTCTAATACTACAAAATTTTGAAAGGTACTCAATAATGACATAAAATTAAAATAATAAAATATTGAAACTGTCAAATACCACAAAATACTCTACAATCTCTTTTAATATATATGATAAATAAACAGATAAAATTCTGGACATAAAAATGATAAACATTAATCCATAAAAAATGAATTGAGTAATAAAAAAAATAACTTGTTTAGTACAAATGTTCCATAGAGCGAGATTTAGACAACAGATTTTGTGAAGAATTTGGCGCATGTGCATATGAAGATTTTTGACGGGAATTTTTTGATTTTCCATCTGGTGTTAATTTATTCAAATTAGCGTGTGCCCATTTTTGGATTGGTTTTTCATGCACAACAAAATCTGATATAACATTTAGACTACTTGTTTTCTTTGGAGTAACATTAAACCTGGAAATTGGAGTTTTATGAATTGGCTTTCTAAAATCTGTGGGGGAAAATCCAGGGCTATTTTCTAAAGATTTAAATGGCTGTCGAATAGATCCTCGAATATCTTGATTAGCATCCATGTACACATCATTTACATTCTCATTGTTCCCGTTACTGCCGCTATGCTTGCGTTGACGAAGTGGTTGACCATTTTGCCTGTCTTTTGCCGTCTTGCTATATTGAACGTAATCACTATGTCTCTTAATACCTGAAAATTTTGATGCTGCAGGTTGTGCCTTAACATAATGTCCACGGTTTTCATCATTTTTTCGCTGGCTGTTTCGACGAGAAATCGACCGCTTCCTTGCTAAAGAAGAATGTAAAGAACTGGATTTCAGGGGTGGAGAGAGTCCTTTAGGATCAACATAGTTATTTCCCTTAGTTTCTCCGTCTGACATATCTAAACGATTATGTGACGAGGGTGATTCTTTAAGCACTGTTATCTTGAAATTATCAACTCTGGGTTTTCTGGAACGAGTTTGTTGAGAAGACTGAACAAATTCATCAGAAGCCCAGTCTCCTTTTTTAAATAGATCAATATTTCGACCAAATTTACATGGAGATTCATCAAAATTTTGTAACTTGAGTGGGGTGGAACCAGGGTCTGAGACGTTAAGTTTGCTGGGGTATTTTGTTCGTTGTTTCTGCATTATGGTATTTTGTGGAGTCTGAGAATTCAAACTGAGAGACGGCGATGGTTCGATATTCAGATAATCCAATCTCCAGGCAAAATCTGTTGGCCTTGAAGATGAAATGGGAAAGCATGATGGATTGAATCCCTTATTGAGCATTACAGCTACAGTATTTGGTTCTTGACAACTGCTCTCACTGCTTGATGAAAGTGTTTTACTTCTTTGACAAGCAATAGCATATGGTGGAGGACATCCTTTTTGGATTCTTGAATCTGGCCCATCTTCACTTCTTACCAAATTATTGTGCTCAAGATTATTTTCAGAATAATCCTGGTATTGGTTCATTTCACTCTGGTTTTCATTCTTCTCAGTGCCGATTTTGAAGGTTTCAGCCACCTCATTGTCAGCCAGTTGAGTGACGGCCGACATATAACAGGTTTTAGGAGTACAAGGTGGTTTGATGGACGAAGCGGTACTGCCAGCTTCAGAACAGCTCTCATCAATAAACGGAAAGTTAGGACTACAACATGAATTACCAGACAAAACACTACTGTTGACATATGTAGGTTCCTCTAAACTGTTTGAACTTGAAATGTTGGACACAGGACTGTTTGGATGAGGACTTAATGGACTTGCACTAGTTAAATTGCTGGATCCATATGGACTTGTGTGCTTCGATTCGTAGCTACTTCTGCTTTTCATAATTGAAGGCTGGACATTTAGTACTGGATAATCAAACCTTGAATATTCAGGTGCTACTTCTAAGTTTTTTGAAAAAGAAACATGTTTCCGATTAATATATTCGTATAAGTGTTCATCCAAATAATTTTGTGTATTGGGATTCAATGCCGATTCAGGAATAGAATAAATGGAGCCATGAGTATATTTACCTTGTGGACGATATTCTGGATGACTGTTTCTAATCTGAGTGGAATTGTTCGGTGGTTTCAGAAGTTTTAACACAGATCCTGTGGGTATGGATATTGTTGAGGTATCTGGTACATATCTAGAATGATCAGACTTTATGACAACTGGAGAAGATCTGCAATGATATAAAGCTGGTTCGTCTTGAGGAGGCATGGCTTCTCGTACAGTTATATTATTATCATCAAAAAATTTTGAGGACGTTGTGGAGGAACTACTACTCCTGCTCATCCTTCGGATTCCGTCAGGATTTCCAAATAAAGATTTGTTGATGGTGGAGGTCGATGAAGGACTTGAAAGGGGCGAATCCAACATTCTTCTCTTGGACTCTTCCCACAGTTTATGAACATCTAATGGTGATAATGACCCTGCCTTCGAGTTCAGAACAGAAAGACTTGTGACGGAATATGGGCTACAATCACCCTCCCGTAAATCCTTCTGAGACCTGATTCGAAACATTAAGCCATCGGTGCCTTCATTAAATACAATACTATAATCTGCATCTTTATGCTGGGAAGTCGGTTTTTGATAGATAATATCATCAGTGGCACATGATGTATTTGACTGTGTTCTTATCATCTGGTTACCATCAACAATACCATCAGGAACTGTAGCTGAACGGGAGCTTGATTCCCAAATAGCCATTAAATTACGGTCTGTAGCATTTTGAGGACAGGGCGTGTTGGCTGCAGAATGAACAAATGGGCCTCTAGCATCTGCAGGAGAGTTTCGACTGAGATCAATGACGGCGTTACATGATTGATTGTAGTCCAAAATAGAATCAGACGTGTTGAATATTTCCCTTCTTTCTCGTTTCTACAAAATAAAAATGTATCAAAATTAGTCATCTGGAAAAAGGGTTTTTGAGTGCTGAAAATTATAAAAAATTATAAGACAAATCTATTGCCTATTAAGTTGTCGTCAAGATTTTGAGTAGACACTTACTGGCAGTTGCTTTATAAGATACACTTGATTTCATTGTTCTTGTATCACTGATGATAACATTGCTTTATGCCTTGTGAGTTTGTGTTATGCTTTGTGAGTTAGTGTATGCTTTTCCAGTATTTTCAGTGTTATTTTCTGGTGAGGTTCCCTCTTGCAATTACTGTAAAATTAAAGTTTTATTCCCAGAAGTTTTCTTTTTTGTGTTGCTAAAATAGTCATAAAATCAACTTACCGGAGTTGTTGATGGCATGATAGTAGGTTCATAGACTGTAGGTTTAGCATTAAACAGATGAACTTCACCAGATGGATGGAGAAATCGATAATATATCATTAAAAATACTAATCCTGTAAAATAAATACAAATAAAGTCTTATTCTTGAAAAACTGGTAAATGTAAAAAAAAAAGTAAATTATTGGAAGGAAATTGCCAATGTAAAATCTGACAGACCATAATGATATTTGGTCAGAAATTGAAGATACATGTATCGATACACCATAAATTTTTCTGAACTATTTTGTATTCATATTCGCTTTAAGAAAGAGGCTATATAGTTGTTCAAATTTGCCCATAAGTAGTAGAGGTTGTTTATACTTTTTTGTCGCGAACAATCTTTAAGCTTATAGGTATATTACACTTGTTGTTAAACTAAAAATGACAAGTATATACTTGTAGGTCAAGAGGTTAACTCACCTAATATAAAAGCACCAAAAACAATACAAGCAGTAACAGTAACTAACTCCGGTAAATCGGTATAAATGAACCATAATGTCCAGAGAGCAGAATTCTCCAGCAATATGAGAAAGTAAAATGCTGTGATCCTACGCCTGGTACGACCATCTTTAACATTTAAAAAACAAAATATGTGGATGAAACCAGCTACTAATCGAAACATGGAAGTCTCAAAGCACCCATCACCAAAATCTGTGCCTTGCACCGAAATAATAATTGTCATCACCAACCAATGTGTACCTGAAAAATTAAACAAGGGTGATATTAATGGCTGAATTGAAAACAATTTATGCTGTAGTCTACCTCAATCTGAACCTAGGACATGTTCAGCCAACTTTTATACTTTTTAAATGCTAAAACCACACTGTCACATGAATACACTTTTATATAAATCAGTAAAAGAGTGTATATTCTTATGATCCACATTTTTGATAATTGCAGTTAACAATATGGTGAATCAAAAAGGAATCAAGGAGTCCTAAATTGTGCCAATATTAACACTTACCAGCCACTAAAAAAATCCATCCTTTAAATACAACCGAAAATAAAACAAGGGCCATTATTCTAGCTGAGGCCATACAGGTATGCCATAACGAGTGAATAATTAGTCCAAACCATCTTCTAGAATATCCAGTCTGGTAAGCCAGTCGAAGAGCATCAGTATATGCCGTTACAGCCCAGGACAGAGAAATCAGAGAACTAGCAATTGAAACACCTTTTTGAAAAAAGAAAATTAAATAACACATTACTATACAATATTGAGACAACAAAAAATTCAGATTGTGTTACCACTACTTTGTTAACGAATTAAGACGCTTCGTTCTTCTTCTTCCACAGAGGGTGATATCGCAGATAAGTTGTCATATTTTTTTCATTTTCATTATCTTAGCCCACGCGAAGGGGTCTTCCTGTGGGAGGAAACCGGAGTACCCGGAGTGAACCCACGAGGTTGAGAAGGAGCCCCTATCTCCAAGCTACATACACTCACACCAGGGATCAAAACCATGACCGTAAGCCGGATGACTGTCCAGCTAGAGATCGTAGCGTGACACTCTATACCACTACCACCCGGAAGATGCTTCCAGTTTGCGTTGCATTTATAATTAACCTACAGTGACAATGGCTTTATTGTTATAAAAATTATTCTACCTGTACTCACCAGTTAGCCAATCAATATGCAGAGTAGTAAGAACAATATATAGCTGAAGTCCAAGTTGTGGTGCCGATTCCATAAAGGCTTCAATCAGTCTCAATATACTGATGTCATTTTGTTGTGAAAAGGCTATAGAGGTGTCTCTACAAACATCACCAGCTTTCTGTCTGGCTCTTAATCCAACTTTAATAACACCCAAATACCTGGAAAAATCATCAAAATCTCTGACTAATAATCTTATAATTCCACTCAAATGAGAAAATACTGATGTTTCTCAATAGCATGTCAATTTTGTACCCAACAATAAACTACCAAACATAAGCCCACAGATTTATTTTTTCTGTGTATATCGTCTGCAGATGTGTTCTAGTCAAAATCAGACTGTTCTTGGTAGTTCTTTTTTAGGTGAGTAACATTTTATTTGTGCTTGAAAACGATAAGAGAATATGTGTTGAAACGTGCTATGTGTGTATAAACTAGTGACTGTTTTCTATAGAAATGGTGTTGTGTTTTTTAATGTGTATAATCACTATATGCCACCCTTAAATTTAATAAATAGTGTGGATCTCGAAATATATTTGAAATATGGATCTTTTTTTTTATATTGGAATGAGAAATATTTACCTGAAAACTGGTCCAACTAGTAATAAATGAGGTAAAAATGTACAAATTGTCAGTTTTCCATCATTGTGGTACCACTTAATGCTAAAAAACTGCATAACAATAGCTGGCAAACAGATGAATACAATCGATAAACTTCCCCATACTATATGACCACCCTCATAGAACTCAACAACTACCAAGACATCTGAAAATAACAAAAATAAAACATTATTTATTTGCTTCTGCTCTAACAAGATATTGTCCATGATTTTCGATCTGATCACATACATGTATAACAATGCATAATGTAATAACACAAGGTCAATGAGAATAAACGATTTACTTGGCTCAACAGAGAAAGATAAACAGGGATTAATTGTCCACTTGATGCAAACTATGCCATTAAACATTAATTTTATTTCAATAACCTGTTTACACATATGTATAGGTTTTTATCAGTTGGAGGAAGGCTGAGGGCCTGAAGAAAACCCACAAGGTTAGACAGATGACCCTACTCTTTGTCACATACATGTACAAGCAGGAAATTAAAACTAATCCACTTGATTCAATGACAGACCTTATGATCTGAAGCATATGTGTTAGATCATTCGATTACCCGACCCCAACCTTGTTTCAATAGTGTGTGTCTCTTTGTTGGGTACAAAGAGTTGTACTATTATTTCCAGATCTGTATAAAAGGGTTGTTAATTGAGACTGTGCTAAATATCCTTTTTCCTTCCTTACTTTTCAATATAGCGAGTGGACAACACATGATACAATTTATACATGTATGTCATCCATAATGGAGTGGACACATTAGAAATTAAGCTGTCACCAATTAACCTTATTGTACACAGTGTAAACACAGACGTAAAGGTTTGACACAATATTGTGATAATAATCAGTGAAGTGAAACCATTGTTATTAAATCTCAGACTACTATTATCTTTTTCAATAAAAACAACAATTGAAGAAACGAAGTCACAATTAAGGTTAGGGTTAATTAAAATTAAATCAAGCTCTTGACCATAAACGCATGCCGACCATAAATGCAGTAGGCCTACTATATAGTGTAGGCTACCTTAATTTTGAACTTTTATAAAATACATTACAATTATAATTAATAATCATTATAGCCTAATTATATACATGCTGAGTTATAATGTTATATAGCATAACTTTGGCTTCCCAATCACATGACTGATAAAAAGAAAAGTATTTCCAGTAATTTAAAACTCAACAGGTACATTTTAAGGTTGGCAGCACTATACTATATAATATAGCCAATTTGTCTACAAATTTATTGCTTTTAAAAAAAAAAAAAAAAAAAAAAATGCAATCTGTCCAAATAGTAGCCTAAGTAATCACTTTGGTCAGGTAGCATAAACAAAAATTGGCCAGATACTAATATTACTCCCAAGTTATTTTTAATTTTAAAATATATTATGTATGAAACTATAATCTTCCACAACAGGCTGATGAACAGCACAGGGTCATATAAACAAAAGAAATTTCACTAAGTAAAACGAAACTCACCTGTGCCGATGTCTAATAAAAATGTAATCAACGAAATCAGGTTTACGAAAAGGTCGTAGCAAGTAAATTTCTTTGGTTTCATGGCGATCTGATCTTTGTGTACATCTATTGGGGATTCATTTTATCATGCCGTCTGTTAGTTTGAAATTGGCGGAGTTGATTTCATTCGTCTTCTTCCATTTTGAATTAGATGTCGTCCAGATTATCCAGTCTTTTGTACCATTCAGTTAAAGCGTAAGTCTGGACAATCTACACCGAAGCACCTGTAGTAGGTGGCGCTGTCGTAATGTAAACAAATTACGGTCATCTTGACCTGTTATTAAAGGTGTGCAAATTAACACCGATTGATTGCCGGCGGCTGGATTTACAGAAAACAATAAAAAAAAAATCAGCTAAAAATCACGTTACTTTATCAACAAAACAACATGAGTTGACGCCATTTGTTGAATATGACAATATTTGTATCTCCGACTCCTAAATCTAACCCAATTCAATATTTTCAAGCATTTTTAAAAAGATGTGCTCGTAATTATAATATACAGAGAGCTAGAGAGAGAGAGAGAGAGATGGGATTTAACGTCCACTCGACACAAACTAGGTCATTTCGGGACTAACGTAATGTTACGTATGGTTTAATTTTATTTCAATAATACGCTTGCGCATAGGGGTCTTTAGCAGTGGGACTGTGGGAGGAAACCGCAGCGGAGCTATATAGGGCCCGGAGAAAAACCACGAGGTTTGACAGACGACCCTACTCCTTGTCAGGACCCTACTCCTTGTCACGTACAACCGGGCATTCGAAACCTCGCCTGTTGACGTACTCAATGACAGGCCTTATGATACAGCGCGCACGTGCTAACCATTCGGCCACCCATCCCTCCTAATATATACACAGATGAATATGCAAAGATTTAAAATAAAGGTCTTGGTAAAAATGAAATTTTGAAAATGCACTCCGTGAAACTATATAGGCCTACATTTACAGAATTTGCTTAATGCAATGCAGGCAAAAACATTTATTCAAACTCACAACCACAAAGTATTTGAGATAAAAATAATCTAGAATAACTTTGGATTTTACACCCACATAAGGAACTAAAACTGACCAAAACTCATGAAGTGGGTCTAATTAACAAAAAAAATTAAAATCATAATTTGCTCACATTAATTATAATTAAACAAAACAGGTACAGTTAATGATGATAGCTTAATAATTAATTATTTAGCAGTTCAATAGACTTCTTCAAGTCTCATCAACATATACACTGTGTATAAATTTCAAATCAGTCGGATGATCTTTAGCTTGTAGATCTAGAGCCCCACAAAATCAATGGTATTCTTTGTTTTATGAACTTTATCACTATGTATAAATATTTCAATAATTAATTTGTTATCAGTATTATTTGTTTTTGTAATGGCATGGATTTATAAGTCATCTGCTAGTGGTACAATGTCAAACCTTGTTAGAATCCCAGATGTATTAGGAAAAAAAACAAAATGAAAACATGGTATTGGGTTGATCCAACTTTATTTATTATTATACAAATATATTGCACAGTTTGGTTCATAGACCATCATTAGTTGACCAACATGTGATATCAGTAGGGTATTGCTTTCGAGAAAACTTTCAATATAATGTATGATAAAAGTTGCTTGTCACAATATAATGTGCATGTTAAAAATATAACTTAGGATTACCCATAGAAGGTCATATTTGGTTCAATGCCCACAACATTGCCATTTTAAGCATGTTTAATTTGTGATATAAAAGCTATATTCTTTGCCGACTACATTGTACAATGTTCATTGTTTGGTGTTAAAAATACAAGATGTTACTGGTATATGTTATAAGGTCTTTAATTCATCTATCACTTTTGTCTATTCACCAGTTAAACGTTCACATTTTTCACTTGCTTTTTCTTTATTATTTTCCAGTTTAGCTATTCGGGAACCGAACTGTATAGCTCTCTTAGGAAAACAGCTAGTGTTCAATAATCCTATACTGTAGGCTGATAATCGTAATAATAGTTTCTCCCCTAATCCTCTTGGTAAATCAAGTTGAGCCTAGAGAGATATTGAAAATAAAAATTATATTAAACTAAATCTATGTGCATATCTGAATATATTTTTAATGTGTTTAGAACATTTTAGAGTTTAAACAAAATTTGTCAACATAAACTAATCTGAAATTTGTAGTTTCTACCTATACAAAGCAAACCTGCTTATCACAGAGTCAGAAATGTCTATTCTCTATTAGTAAAGCATTGGATATAGTATAATTTGTGGAGATAGGTTACTGATACCTTACAACTCGTATACATGTATATGAACATTAGTCAAAGTAATTAACCAGTTTTAACTTTATAAGTAAGATTAGCATGGAAATTAGATACTTTTCATGTAAGGGGACGGACTTACGCCCACTTCCACCTAGGGTGATATTGCTTACAATGCCCTTTTGCTTTTACACCCCCATTTAAACTGTGTGTACTGGACTAGGGACCTATACAATCAACCTATTAGAATAGTATCATATTCTACATCTGCTAACACAGCAATGTAAAAAGTTCAATATTTCAATAAGTACATTACACATACCTTGATATGAATAGGTAAACTACTGAGATGTTGAACAACTTTCTCATCTAAGAAAGGAAACCTGGCCTCTTTACCATGATCCCCTATTATTCTGGAAAAAAAAGAAGATTTAAACATAAAAGGGTCATTCCATGTCAAGTGGACAAAATTCTCAAAAAGATGTGAGGTGACCCTCTCAGAAGATTATGAAAAAAAAAATGTTATAGCACGAACAAAGTTGTGTAAAACTGCAAAGTCATATGACTCTAGCATTAATATTGACTTAGATGTGGCCTTTTGAATTGCAAATTTTGAAACTACTATTCTATGACTCAATATAGGTGCACTGGTTTTATATCATCTAGTTAGACAATACTCTTCAAATGTAGATTAATAATCCTCCATCAGATTTTCTGAACAAGTACTGTCGACTATGTATGGCATGCATTAAAGTGCCAAAAAGATTTCGAAACAATGTAGGAATTTAACTACAATATATTAGAGGTTGTTACTTGTCATATGTATAATATATCTATATGTGTTTCTAGAATAGACATATTTGAAGCCAAATCTTGTTCCGGTTTCTTGGAAAATTAGCATTGAAATCAGCCTACATAACAAAATAGCTAAAATGCCTGTATTTCAAATGGAAATGAAATGAAATAGCGTTTAACGTCCTACTGTTCTGCTAACGAAGACGATAAACATGCATAGGTGCCTTCCATGAAATTTTTTGAAATTTGGGGGTAATGTTGCTTGCACGTGTGTCTATCAATGGTGAGAGGCCCATGTTCAATATTTTACTCCTTCATATTTTATTTTCATTAAATTTGAAATGAAATGAAATGAAATGGAATTTAACGTCCAACTGTTCTGCTCCGAAAATTCAAGAGATGTAACATGTTTATATATAATATATATTTACACTTTAAAGGAACTTGCTTCCAATACTCTGATCATCATCAAATCACATCCTGTAAGAGCAAACTCATGGCTACGCAAAGCTTCTATAACCTGTATATTAATAGTTTTCTAGTAATCCCCTAATTATGTATACTCCCCACCCCATTCATTCAAGGGAGATAACATAGTATCTTCTTCTGTATGTGGATCTCTTAATTCTTATCTTACCTATCATCGCGTCCTAAATTTCTAGCTGATATTCTTTGCATTTCCATTTTTATCTCTTGTAAAAGTCCATCCCATTTTCCTTCACTGAAAGTATAACACACAATACACATAATATTTACAGTTTGATTACTTTACTATATTCCTTGTGAAAAGAAGGGGATCACGGTGGGTAAGACACTGGCTCGCTAGCCCGGAGGTCGGTTGTTCGATCCCTGCACTGGCCGAGAAAGTACATCAAGATTTTCCGGTGTGGTTCTCCCTTGTCAGTGATACAGAACAGAGGGCCAGCCAAGGACAGCTGTCTAGATGTTCAGAAGGGACGAAAAACCGAGGCCCTGTGTACACATTGGCGTGCATGTAAAAGATCCCTTGACAGTTGGAATTCAATATAAGAGTAGGCCGTAGTGCCGCTGTCCGGGCAAAATTTCCCTCATAGCACACTGTATGGCCGTCTTCATTAGCCCAGTTTGGAGCAGAACAGTAGGAGGTTAAACCCCATTTCAATTCATTTTGTGAAAAGAAACTGACGACATGAAACTGGAAGTTCATTTTAGCCCATGTGACTCCTTTTGTGAGACTACATCTTCACATCCATGAAGTTATTTTCTGGATTTTTCTACTCTACCTGAACCTAATCAACCAGATTTATGACTCTTTCATGTCTATTACATATAAACCAGCGGCTGCCAGGCTGGATACGCCCACATTATCGAGAGGTGGATAGAGAACAAGCTAAAAAGAAAGTGATTTTTCCTACAATCAAGGGCCATAATTCAGGAAATTACAATCGATATGCGCAAATATCGAAAGTAACCGAGATCTTTGTGTTATAAACTTACAAATAAAATCTTTTAGGCTATTTGAGAACGAAGGGGGGACATTTTGTCTGTCAATTTTGGGCCGATTTTCACGAAATTCGATCTCTGCCGTCCTTAGGGTGTAACGGTGATATAATAATACGTTTTTGTTAAATCGGATAAAAATTATGACCTCTATAGAGTCCACAAGCTAAAAACACGATTTTTCGTACAATCAGGGGCCATAATTCAGGAAGTTATGGTCCGATATGCTCGAATATCGGAAGGAACCTAGATCTTTGGGTTATAAACTTACATTTCAAGTTTCAACAAAATGGGATAAAAATTGTGACCTCGATAGGGTCCACAACCTTGATATACCATATCTTTACGCTATCTGAGAATGATCGGCGGCCATTTTGTGACCTCTATAGGGTCCACAACCTTGATATACCATATTTTTACGCTATTTAAGAACGAACGGCAGCCATTTTGTCTGTCAGTTTTGGGCCGATTTTCACGAAATTCGAACTCAGCCGTCCTTAGGGTTTAACGGTGATACAATAATACGTTTTTTTAAATCTGATAAAAATTTTGACCTCTATAGGGTCCACAAGCTAAAAATGCGATTTTTCGTACAATCAGGGGCCATAATTCAGGACGTTACGTTCCGATATGCGTGAATATCGAAAGAAACCAAGATCTTTGGGTTATAATCATACATTTCAAGTGTAAACTAAATCGGATAAAAATTGTGATCTCTACAGTGTTCACAAGCTAAAAACGGGATTTTTATAAACACTTGATGAGTTTTAGTCAAGTTTAGGGGAAAATGTCATCAATTATTACCCCTCCGAAAGAAAACAGTTTAATTTTGAATGTTTCGTGTGTAAATGTATTAGGCCTTATGATCGTATTATAAAGGTAAACAGGTCCACGTGTATTATATTCTAAAATGAACACGGTGACATGCGCAGTTCGTATTTCCGACCATTTAACCCTGTAATCTTACGCGAAAGAGTTCCCTGTAATATTTGTAAATACATTGTTACTTTGCAATTGTGACCCCATTTCTATTTAAATATGGTAATAGTATTAAATATATCATCATTTATTTGTTAAAAATCGTATTGTTTATCATTGTCGATCGACACAAAGAATCTTGGTGGCGTAGTCAAATGAGCCATTAGCAGAAATAGTTTGGACGGCAAGGGAAGACAACTCTGTTTCGGAGATTGGCCTACTTTAATGAAATGTAAGTAAGTTACATTATATTAAACCATTTAATGCCAAGTAAATGATAGGAGGTACATGCTGGCATTTAGATACTAAATAATTAATCCAACCTGTATCTACTTCTATGTCTAGAATATCCAGCTAGTTGTTCATCAGCTCCCATACCACACAATATAACTCTAGCTGTACTGGAAAATCTTTCTCCTTTATTCTTACCATTACCCATAATACCCTGTCCACGTGCTGCAAACCATATGGCACATCCTATACTATCATCTAATACAGTGCATGATGGGTAGACAAGGTGACGAACACGTCTTGATCTGAAATAAAAATAACTATATGAGTAAAAGATATTTTTCATTCCTATGCTTTTGTGTTTAATCGGAAAAGTTTATTTTTTAAAATTAAAACAGTATATATAGTAAATCAACCATACCTACCTTACATCTTTTAATTCTTCTTGTGTAACATTTATCTAGAATAAAAAAAAACAAAAATGCTACAAGAAACTAAAGACATTTGTAAAACATATTAACTAAACTTGGTAACTTATGGTACTATTTACTGACAAGTATTTCCTCTTCGCCAAAGAAAACATATTAAAAACTAGTCTGCAATTCCAAATGAGGTAAAAGCAAACAAACAGTTATTGAGTTATTATTGTATAAAAATGTGTATCCAGTATCCACAAAAATCAGTCTTGTTTCCAGGATAGTTTTGATTTTACCTCTACAAAGTTCCAACACCTATTGGGGTTTAATTCTGCTAAGGCTGTATAACCAGTTAATCTATCAGGAACACTAAATTTATCTTTCACTTCAGCTCTGAAAAAAAAGGCACCTTCATGTAACAAACTCATGATTGTGTGCAAAAATAGTGAGCAGCAATTTCCATCCACCTTTTTTATATTATAGACAACTATTAAGACATTGTGTGAAATAAAATTTACCCCTGTCTGCCTAATCCTCATTGATTTTCAACTGTCAACGGTTCTTTTACTTCCACGGCAATGAGTACACAGTTGGACATCCGTTTTTCTTCCCGAACAACAAGACACTTTCCTTGCCAGATACTTCATCCTGCCCCACAGACAACGGGAAACCAGACAGGAAAATCAAGAGGAAGTCTCTCAGCTTATGCAAGGATTGAACACAGGATCTCCTGGTCAGTGAGCCAGTGTCATACTTTGGCTATGAGAAAACTTTTATTGTACTTGTAGTGGTAATAATGATATGTCTGAGGTTTTTTTAAAGATATACATATGGGTACTAAATCTATCCAGCAATATGAGCACATGCATTGAATTTCCATTTTTTTAATATCTTTAATTTTGAATTTTTTTAGGGTTTCGATAAGTTTCTACTCACTGTACACTTTGCTTTCCCCTTTTAACTGTATTTGGTTGAGCTTTCGGTAGTTGTTCAAAAGCTACATTTAATAAATCAATTGGTTCATTGACAGGTACACATCTATGGAAAAAAAAGAAATAAGTGACTGTTATCCATTCAACACAGCATACATAAAGGTATCAAAATTTCACAGATTTTCAAGACAAGGTTTTATTTTAAAATGTTGCAGCAAAATGGACCTAGTATTTCACTTTATTACCTGGCACAGCTCTTTTCAAACAACAGAAAACCATATCATGTAGTACGGTAAAGGGAGCCATGTTTATCCCAGCAATGAAATCTAACTGTACTGCTCTGACTGGTCTAATGAAGTTGGGCATACGCCATACAGTGTGCTATGAGGGAAATTTTGCCCGGACAGCGGCTCTACAACCTATTCTTATATCGATTCCAACTGTCAAGGGATCTTTAATGGGCACACCAATGTGTAACATGGGGACCTAGGTTTTTCATTCCATCACAACGACTATACATTGTCTCTTGCCAGTAGTCCGGCAGCAGGTTGTCAAACCTGGAAATATAGTCCACCTATTGTTTTTTGATGGATTATATATCTTCAAATCAGTATGTGTAGATTCAGAATCTGCATGATGCCACCCTGATGCTAGCTAGTCTTCAAGAAGATCAGTACAATGCCAGTATATACACATTTATAATTTTATGTCTAATAGAAAAGAAATGAAATGGGGGTTTAATGTCTTAATGTTCAGCACCAACTGGGACAATTGTGAGATGCTCCCACAAAACCAGGCTCTTGGTCATTTTTATATAAAAAAAAAGAGCTAGCAGCTTATTTGAATAGTCCGCAGACTAAACTTTCCAAAAATGCAATTCTTTTTAATTTGTCGTATCATCTGGAGTTGAGTTTGGCTCGTTCACAGCAACAAGAAGGCATACAGTTTATGCTTTTGTGCCCGTGGTCTAAAATAAAGTTGGGCGATAAGCGCCTGGTTTCGTGGGATCGGGCCACATTATGCAGTCAGTGGTGAAATTAGCCATAGCCAATAGGCAATTACGATCTTGGCCTAGAACACTACACTTTTAGAGTGACCTGCACTGGTGAAGCCTTTAAGGTATATTACTAAAGATAAACAAAATGATAAACAAAACAATTTGTAATCGTTTAAGTCAGTGTAGATACATGTATATGCATTTGTTGGCCCGTGAAACCTGGTATAAAATACACAACCCTTGAACAGACATTATTAAATCAGTTGAATCTGGAAACCATTTCAAAAACACAACTTACCTGTCAGCTAAAGCTGTAATTATGGCAGAATCAATTCCACCAGAAAACAAAATCGCAACTTTTGCTTTACCACACTCTAATATACTGGATTCTCTTTCACAACTGGCATCTTTGTTCATAGGTACATTCTCTTTTAAATGACTACATGGATTTTGAGCATGATGAGACACCGATTCGCGAGGTAGATTGAATATTCGTTTTTTGACAGCTTTTTCTAAAATATCCACAAACTGTTCAGCTGACTTCTTCAACAGTTCACTGTTTTGTAAAAGACTGTGTAAATACTCTTTAGATGTCATGTTATTCAAGTCTACAGATTTAAAATCATCAGATGGAATTTCCATATTAAGACTGGGTATCCATGAATTTATTTTAGTAGTTTTATCAATGGAGATCTGTATGTTGGAATAATCAACAGGATAAATGTTGGATTGGAGAATATTGTCATTGTCTACACAATCATTAGTTCCAGGCCACTTGGCATCTTTCCATGGAAACAATTCCAGATTCAAATTTGAATCTTTTGGGTCATTTTCACTTAAATCGAGACAAAAAACACCAATAGATGGAAGTTCATAAAATTCCTGAAAACAGAAAAATAAATTAATAATGTTATCTGTAATTTCATCAAACTATACAAGTACCCAATCTGATTAAAATACAGATCTATATTTTGTTTCGTTTTTTTTATACTTTTGATGGCCTACACTACATTAAGATCTGACCTGTTAGTGTTGTAGTGGAAGGTCGCGTTGGGGGTCATACGAGCGGCTTTTAACCCTGCGATGAGTTCAGACATTGATTACTCAATCAGCATTGATCTTTCTAGTGGTTTACCCACAGTTCTGTCCACCACATGCCATGAAGAACTCATTTCATTGGCTAATCCATCCCATTACCAAGAACACGGGTTATATAACAACTCTTCCAGATCCTCGTGTTGTAAAGACAAGTAAAACGAAATTCTGAACTATAAAAATCAAACGAAATAGGATCTGTGTTTTAATCAGATTGACAAGTACCAGTTGTTTGGTTAGTATTAAAAACTGATGTCTTATTTTGAAGGGACTGTTTTCTATTGATTAATATACTATTCAAAAAAAGTAGGGGATATTTGATTTTGGGGGCATAATACTAAAATATGCAAATGACTACGAAAAAAGTCACTATAGAACCTAACAGAAGAAACATTTCCAGTTACATGTGACGCCCAAACGCACCAATAGCTACCGCATGGAATGCAGGTGATGCTTGGGATCATCATGGGGGTCCAACCCAAGATTTGCACGACTCTGACTTTGAATGTTACAGTCATTGTGGCATTGAATTCCAGGGTGGAAACATCAGTTTAATTGTTTTAGTGACCAGAAAACAAATTTTGATATGCGTCGGCTTACCCAAAATGAAAGGTTACGTGCCCTTGGCATGCTACAGATCGGCACAACACAGGCGGTTGTGGCGCGGACGATGAATGTTTCTCAGTCTGTCATAAGCAGGCTATGGTCCAGATACCGTGATACACAATCTGTACAGGACAGACCACGCTCAGGTCGACCAAGGGCGACAACTCAAGCCCAGGATCGATTTATCCGTACCTTGGCCTTGAGAAATCGTGTCATCACCGCAAATCATATCAGCGCTCGTCTTCAAACAGACACTGGTGTGAGAGTGAGTGGCCAGACGATTCGGAATCGACTGCATAGGGGTCACCTTCGCGCCCGACGTCCTCGCGTGATCCCTTGTTTGAGAGATCATCACATTCAGGCAAGATGTCGTTGGTGTAGGGATCGTCAGCACTGGGATAATCGACGCTGGAGCAATGTGATGTTTTCAGATGAGTCAAGGTTCACTGTTGATTTTTTGGACAGACGTAGGAGGGTGTGGCGTCGTCGAAACGAGCGCTTCCAAGACGTTAACGTCATCAGACATGATCGATTTGGGGGTGGTTCTGTTATGGTGTGGGGAGGCATCACTGTTGCTGGAAGAACGGCTTTACATGTTGTTGCAGGGCGTGTTACAGGCCAGTACTACCGGGACAACATCTTGGCAGTCCATGTTGTGCCGTTTGCACGACGTCATGACCGCCGTTTCATCTTCCAGGATGACAACGCAAGATGTCACAGGGCCAGGATCGTTACAGGTTACCTCCAACAACAGAATATCACCACATTACCTTGGCCAGCACTGAGTCCCGACCTCTCCCCCATCGAGCATATCTGGGACATGCTTGGACAGAGGTTACGTCAACGTCAACAACGTCCTGCCAATGTCCAAGAACTTGCTGCTGCGTTGCAACAGGAATGGGACAATCTGGACCAAAATGACCTTAGACGTCTCATTAGGAGTATGCACGTCGGATCAATGCTTGTTTGGCAAACAGAGGAGGATTTACCCGTTACTGACTTGGTTGTGATGCTGTGGTAACTTTGCTGTTTGACCCCGGGTATCATTTTACCCTTATAATGGTCAGTCTGTGCCTTACTTAGTCTAACGATCATTTGGAATAAATCGATGAATGTGAACTTCATTTCATTTTGTCATTTGTTTCTTCGTCAGTTTCATTAGGTGACTTTAATAACACTTAAAAATCAAATATCCCCTACTTTTTTTGAATAGTATATATGAAAAGTTATTCTGATACTAAAACACTGTTCTCTTCTTTCCTATAGCTATGTCTGGTATGTAATGGATGGGAGAATTTTGCAGAAGAACAACAACCAAATTTTAGCAGTTGCTCCTGACATTCATTACATCTTTGTATTGCCGAAAATAATGCAGTTCACTAGTAACACGAACTTCACCAAGAGACCACATTTAATATTTAGCAGATTTTTAGGACCACTGTCAAAGTGTGAGAAGTACTTAGACCTTTAGATAAAACTACAGCTTTCCAATAGTTATTGAACTTATGAATGTAATGACTTACATGTGACAGAATGGTTACGGATGTCAGCATAAAAGCATCAGTTGTAGTTGCAGGTAAATGCCATAATAAACTCCTTCTGCCAAATCGATCTCTTCCAAACCATAACTTTTTCTTCTTACTCTGCAACAAGTAAGAAACATTCGTGCATGGTCACTGGGACTAGTCTACTACATTTTGGGGGTGGGGGGTGTGTGTGACCGAATGGTTAACATGTGCATGTTAGATAAGAAGGCCTGTCATTGAGTAAAGTTGTCCGGTTTTGATTCCCTGCTTCTGGGTGACAAGGATTAGGGTCACCTGTCCAACCTCGTTGGTTTTCTCTGTGTCGTCCGGTTTCCTTCCACGGCTAAAGACCCCTACACACAAGCGAATTATTGCAATAAAATTGAACCATCTGTCTCCCTCTGTCTCTACCACATTTTGCAAGAATCTGGTATTTCTGAAACAATTCATTGTAATACATTAAAATATTTCACAAATATTTACCTGCCAGTATATAAAAGCCCATGGTCCCTCAATTTGTTCTACTACATGTAGTAATTGTGTATTGGTCACAGATTCTGTTAGTCTAGAAAACAGAACTTGTGTATCATTCTCTTCTTCCTTTACCTAAAACAAAAATCAAAATATGCTGAGTTTTGTTTATCAACAGCAAGCAAACATCAGAAACACTATTCTAAACACGAGACACAAATAAATGAAAGTAAAAAACATACAGTACTATAGTAGATTTGTCAAGATATAGGAGCAGCTTATCTTTGACAATCTGATGAACACACGGATCCCATTTCGTTTCGTTTTTTATTGTTCAAAATTTTGTTTTACTTGTCTTCACAACACTAAGATCTGGAAGAGCTGTTACATAACCCGCACTCCAGTCGATGTGGGGGATTAGCCAATGAAACGATCTGTAACATCAAGTTTTTGACCTGCGGTGCACAGAATTGTGGGTAAACCACTAGAAACGTCAATGCTGATTGATTAAGTAATGTCTGAAGTCAACTGGTCTAAAGGCGCTTGTATGAGCCCTGACATGACCTTCCACTACAATGCAGTACAAGCGGTCAGATCTTCATGTAGTGTAGGCCATCAAAAGCATCAAAAACGGAAACAAATTATAAATCTGTATTTCATTCAGATTGTATCTTTGATTGAATTATTTTTACAAACTTTCTAACCTCTATTCCTCCAAATATTTCTCCATTCCATAATAAACTATCCCCATCTTTATTTGTCAATGGTTGTGGAGTAGGCTGACCTCTAAGATGTAAGACATAACCGGCAAGTTGCAAATGAAAGTCATTGTTTAATTCTATTGTTCTATTAGTTTGTAGATCTGGACCTCTTGCACCAAGAAAACATAATCCTGATGATCCCTCCTGTAAATAAAATTTTAAGGTAAGGATCCTGTCCTATTCATAAAATGGGGTTGTGATTGACACATGACTTGTGGAATATATCTAGCCTCTTTCTACGAGTCCCTTGTTAAAAATGGCGCTGAAATTCACCATGGTACACGATTCGTGTACCAACGGTAAAATGTTTATTTTGTCTTAATTATTGGATATCAGAAGCCCATCTTTTCCCCGTAAGATCACAACATCAATGTTGATTTAAAGCAGCTAAGTCTCTAACTCAATATCATCCAAAATCTTCAACATTGAAAACACGATTTATTTGTCAAATTAAATCAACATTCATGTTGTGATCTTACCGGAAAAAGATGGGCTTTTGATATCCAATATTTAAGACAAAATAAACATTTTACCATTGGTACTCGAATCGTGTACCATAATGCGCTTCAGCCCCAGTTGTATCAAGAGACTCGAGGGACGAGGCTAGACACATTGCACCAAATCAAACGGCATATGTAGACTGGAATAACCAGACGCTAGAAATTTGCACTCGCTTGAGACTGCTGGCTTATTTCGCCAAACATAACTGATTTGAAATTGGAGTAAAAACGGAAACCATTGTCTATTGAATGTAAATCAGTTTATATACATTCATATTACAGTATTATATGCGTTGCGACCCACTTTTGTCAATTTCTAGGTTCCAAATGTTAGCGATTTAGCTCCTTTAAATTGACAAATAATTTGTGTTTTCAATGTCGAAGATTTTGGATGATATTGAGTTAGAGACTTAGCTAGGCCTACTTTTAAATACTGTATTACTGATCATGTCCAGCCCATGTCAACGTACAGTTACAGTATGCATGGCGTATTGTCTAGCTGTAGGCCTACTGTGGACCTAATCTTTTGCTTACCAAACATTTTGGATTATTTTCATTTTTTCCAGAATATAGAATACAACAAATTCCACACATATTCTGTTAAATAATTAAATTATCACAGTTAATATATAAATAAATTTTACAGCAGTCGAATTTTTTGGGCTTATTCACGGTAGTTACCTGTCCCTGGTCGCCAAAAAATATTGATTTGTAGATAAACTGGCACCGAAAAAATGTTGGTTTTTTTTGTTGTTTTTTTGTTGTTTTTTTAAAAACTTACTTTTTACTGTTTTTCGTTCTAAATCTAAATTCAAAAAGTTAATTTTATGTTTTTGGGGTTTTTTTTGTTGTATAATAGGCCTAATGAAGAAACTGCACGAAATATAAATAATTAAACGGAGTTGTCTCCCATTAACCATTGAAAGTCTATTATTTTGTGTTTCATTTTTACATATCATGTGACATAAACAAACAAAATGTCTGATGGCAGAGGTTCAAGATTATTTACAGATTTAAACAACATTTTTAGGAAAGATCTCTCCATGTTAGCATTTTTATTCAAGTTTTTTATTTTGTAGATCTATCATTACAATCCAGATATTTTAGTATATTTTGTCACACAAATATTATTAATAATATATCATATCATATCATCATGATAATATAATATGGCTAAATTTACAATTAACAGTTTCATTGATATTTCATTTCTTAGAATCATCCATATTGCTATGATTTGTCATTATGAAATAAAGTTACATGTATATTGGTTGGATATAAGGTCCATGATTGGATTAACTTTAAAGTAGTATACCTCTGCAGTACCTGTACCAGTAGATAAGATAAAGATAAGATAAGCTAAGATAAGATTTTATTGTACCGAAACATCCATTTAGACAGCATAAAATATAAATATGTACATAATAAATGATAAATAACAAAATGGCAAATGTAAACATTTACATACAAAGCAAATGATGATTTTAATGTAGTCTACATTTATTACTAGTTATTAGTATTGCAATTGCATCTAGGCTGATATGTTGATTGCAGACAATAAATTTCCATATGAGATTAAGTCATCACAAAAATGTTAATTAGAACCATCCATTTGAAAATGAGTAGGTAATAATAATAATAATAATATCTTTATTTCGAAAGGGTGAACGATCTATAGGTCCGATATGTATGGACCTTTCTGACACGTTGTGCCCTTTATAACAAAAACAATAAAAATAACAAATATAACAACGGTTATGAATTGAAATGAACATTAAACATAATGGCTTACATATCGATCTTGCACCAATTATGTACCGTGTGATACATGTATTACCGGTAGTATTAGTACCGATAATACACAGATCTACCTAGTTAAAATTTCATTTAAAGAATACATTTCAAGATCAATGATCACTGTTCCAAGTAGGCCTAAATGTAACTTGTCAGTGGGAAACCACAAATTATATAACTTCACTTGACCCTCTGATAACCACAAAAACCTCTTCAAATAGGATTCATCCAGTGTAATCATGGACCTTATAGTGTTGCTGTTGAGTATACATGTAGGTGTGAGAATTTTTCAATTAAAATACTGTTTGTGGTAAGCTTATTCTATGTATTCTGTGAGATTTCTAAATTCTTCCATGAAACTGTGATGTTAGTACTGATGTGATTTCATTGGTCAAGTTCTTGTTCCTTATGGACCACCATTCAAATGATGCCATACAAGTTCTTGTTTCTACAAAAATTCATATGCGATACGGAAATGTGGAAAATGAATTAGTTTTAGAAAAGTTGCATGACTTAATCAAATAATTGATAACATTATACTCCCAGAGTTAGGATAACAGTATATATTTTTGTTGCAAGCAACCGGTGCATTTTAGATATAGATTTCTGATGGTTTACAATCTATGATAGAGGGGTCGTGTGGCTGTAATATTATTTGTTGCAGTAAGTGCACCCCATTATAAGTATGATAGTGAATTTTCTTTTCTCTTATTTTTACAGTGATGAATATGATGTGATACCTGTGACTGAACCTGTTCAGAATAAGAGTCCACTAGTTGTTATAGAGCATAAATTAGGTGTAGAATTATGGTGTATTCCTATATTATATCAATATGCCTATGATAAACTTCTCTCGTGGCGTGCTAGAGATGGCACAGAAAAATTCCTAGGTAGGTATTGAAAGGACAAGTATATCTTAGAAAAAATGGAAATGTCTTAATATATTCCCTCAATTACTAATTAGGTAAGTAGCTGTCGATAATTAAAGGTGTTTTTTGCTGCTTTGACTTTCACCATGTCAGCATTAGTTGAATCTGTTAAAACATATCTATGGAAAGGTAAATACACACAGATCCAATCAAATTAAAACACAGATCTAACTAAATTAACGCCAATTAAATTAACACACAAATCTAATTCAAAGTAGCACAAAGATCTCGTAAAAACAACAGCACTTTTATTTCCATGGAAACTCATGTATGAGATATCATCAATTCATAGAGAAATACAAGGAACAAATCCCAGCCCTGCCTCTCCCACCCCCCAAAAGAAAAAAACCCAAGATTGTACAAATGGGGATTGTCATATAATTATGATTTTCTCTTTTTCAGAGCCAGGAGAAGTAGTTAATTTGTGTCGTGCTGTTTTATTGGTTAATCCAGAATGTTACACAGTCTGGAATATCAGGTTAGTTGTTAACTAGATATTTTTTAATTTAATTGAAATGAAATGGTGTTAATGTCCTATTTTTCTGCAGCAACAGGGCTTATATGTATGCCATGCTTCTGATGCAGTGTGCTATGGGAGAAATTCCAACTGCCAAGGATTCTTTTTCGTGCATGCCAGTACGGAACAAACAGAATTCCTGATTAAGATACATACAATAAGAAAGGCCTTTCATAAGCCTCGGAAACCATTTTAATTCATCCAGCTCTCACTCCTGAGTTTATGGCATGGGTATTTGCATTTGCCTAGGCTATTCAAAAGTTTTGTCACTGTGGGTAAAAAGATGTCCAGGGGTGAACTTTATTAAATGAAAAACCCATGACTATGTATGTGATCTATATTTACAGGAAAGAGTGTGTTGAGAATGGAGATCTAACTATAGATGAAGATCTGAAATTAGGAGAATTAATACTCACTAAACATCCTAAAAGTCCTGAAACATTTATACATAGGTTGGTTTTAAAGATATGATTTAAAGCAAATTCCTTCATATTTTTTCTATTGTTTAAATAACAAATGAATCCTAAGTAAATAGATAAAACTCTATTGTTTTGACTTTTCGTATGATGGATATTGGATGCTGAATTGAAGTGGGGTCACGGTGGCTAAGTGGGTAAGACGCTGGCTCGCTAGCCTGGAGGTCAGCTGTTCGATCCTGCATTGGCCAAGAAAGTTCATCCAGATTTTCTGGCGTCAGTGATGCAGAACGGAGGGCCTGACAAGGACAGCTATCTAGTCGTTCAGATGGTACGAAAAACCGAGGCCCTGTCTACACATTGGCGTGCACGTAAAAGATCCCTTGACAGTTGGAATTCGATATAAGAGTAGGCCGTAGTGCTGCTGTCTGGGCAAAATTTCCCTCATAGCACACTGTATGGCGTATGCCCGTCTTCATTAGCCCAGTTCGGAGCAGAACAGTAGGACATTAAACTCCATTTCATTTCTGAATTGAAGTTTCATTGCCAAGAAACAAAATCTTGTGTCTCGATTGTCAATACTTTCATAGGCAGTTTCCGGCCATTAGTGTTCAATACATGGTCATACTCCTCACAGTGTTTCGTTCGATTAGAGCTAATCCCACTGCTGTAATGGAAGCAAATTTCTGTTCCAAATTAATAACCAATAGCTAACTGCATAACAACATCATTACGCTTTAAACAGAGCTCCAAATTGGACCAAATATGTTTACATAACATTTCGTCATGACTCACGATTTTATTACCCCCATTTAACCAGTGCATAGCAGAATATTGCAGAAAAGCTACTTGCGTGACAAATGAGGCTATCAAAATGGATACAATGTAAACAATTCTGTTTGAAGACGAACAATACTTTCACCGTTTTTAATAGCTTAAATCACTGACCAAAGTTTTAGGGAAGACCCCAGATGTTGCTGTACTTAGGATAGATTTGATTGAACGGGAAGAATAGACACACTCCCTCAAAAGCTCAAGTATCTGAAGCCAATCTAGCAGTGGCCAGAGAGGGATTTCTCGGGCCATTGCTTCAGGAATATGCAAATGGTGGGCATTGTCTAACCCGCCATATACTGTCAAATCTAGACTCTAACCCACTCAATATTTAAGTCATCCAATGATCTAAAGCGTTGATTATGGGCTTGTCATGTTAATGAATGTCTAAATAATTTGTATAACATTTGAAGCAACAAACATACTAGGTAATAATCTGGCAAATAATGGATCTTTTTTCTTTACAGGCGATGGCTGCTACAAATATTACTCAACAAAAGTCTGCTTTCTAGTAATGATAGTAACCATAGTAACAGCAGTGTTGAAAGTTGTGAACTTTTAGTTGGTGTTGATGGTATCTCAGTGAACTTTTTACCAACGAATCAAAATACTTGTAGCAATAATCATATACTGCCAAAACAAATTGATAGAAACTTACATCGAACTGTGCACCATGAGTTTGATATATGTTTGCGAGCTGCTGAACACTATGCATGTAATTATAACGCGTGGAGCCACAGGATCTGGTTAATTCAGGCAGCTTTTAACTCAGCTGTACAGGTAAATATACATTCACGGCATGTACACCATGCTTTTACTAAGGGTTGATGCTCAGGGCTTTGACCAGAGTCCCCTCATCACTAGTCTATGGTGAGAAAAATACCTTTAAATTTGAAAGATGATGATTACAATGTCTCATAAAACCAGATTTCCACTTTTCAAAAATGGGTCCTTCCTAATTGTCAAGAACATTGTATATTCTGAATGAAATGGGGTTTAACATCCTACACATACTGGTCTAATGAAGACGAGTAGTGTGCTATTGGGGAAATTCTGCCTGGACAGTGACTCTATGGCCTACTCTTATTTCGACTGTCAAGGGTTTTATGGGCATGCCAATGTGTACATAGGACATTAGCTGTTTGTCCCATCCAAACAACTAGAAATTGTTCCTTGCCAGAAATACACCACAGACAAAGAGAAACCACGCTGGAAAACCCTAAGGAATTTTCTCAACTAACACTGGGATTGAAGGTAGGACCTCCTGGTTAGTGAGTCAGCACCAAATTCACTGAGCCACTGTAGCTCCCATCATTCAGGGAAGATTAAAAACTGTATATGCTGTGCAAATAAATGGTCATATGGATTTTGGAATTCAACATGGGCTGAAGTATTGTGCTGAATAGAATTAAAACGTCATTAAATTTGATACCACGAAAAGAAATTATTTTTTGTTTTATATACATGGTCTGCATGTTATAAACAGAAGTTCTCAATTGTTTACAAGCCACGCATAAAGTGATTAAACTATTGATATCTTATAATTTCAGGTATTATTATCGGAATTTCGCACAACTGTTACTTGGTTTACTCAGCATGTATCAGATCATTGTGGTTTTCATTATCGACAGTTCTTACTCAAATCGTTAATCAACCAATCACAAGCTGTTTCTTTTAAATTTCGTGTAGATGTGAATGACCTTTTGAACCAGGAATTTGATAAAACTACAGATTTGATTGGTACTTATCCAGGCCATGAAGCTTTATGGTACCACAGGTGAGTTTTTCGTACAGAAATGAAATGAAACTGGGTTTAAAGTACCACTGTTGTGCTCCAACAGTTTTTAATATACTTTGTATGGACCAGAAAATTCGGGCTTATACAATATACATATACAATAATGATAGATATTTATTGACAAACTCAAATCGATTTGCATGTCAGTAACAGTTTATGTTATGTCACAATAAAGTTTTAAGTAATTTAAATTGTTTTCATTAAATTTAAATTGTGTTTATAAACATTTACGGAATCATTCCAGTCAAAAATATGTCAAATCAAGATATCTGGCATAATTTACGAAATTCATCATTTTGCTTCTTCAAACTGAGAATTTTTTTGTGCTACTTCACATCTAGTTGTCATATTTCTAAGCCAATAAAAAGTGGTTTTACAGATATTCCCAAAAATAATATAAGTATGCAGAGCAAAAAATGTTGTATTTCCTTGAAAACAATCAGCTTTGTGTCTTGTAACTATTATGCTTTTATTTGTTTTATAGAAAATTTGTACTGCATCAGATAATTGATGAAATAAAAACAAAAGCAGACCAACTCAGGGAAACACTGTCCAAAGATAACGGTATTGATCTGAAAAGAAGTCGTGTTGAGAGTGAACGTCAACTTTTATTAGAAAAAGAAATCAATCTAGTTTCAAATAAAGAACTACTTAGTTGTGATAAAAGAGAACGTGAATTAGCTAACAGATATATTGTGTGGATAAAAAGAATGCTCAGTTTGTAGGATTTTCATTTTAATAAATTTTTTACTTCATTTATTACTTTCAAAACACTTTCATTTATTTATTAAAAATATATTTCAAGAGGAATGTAAGGTTGGCCTATCATGAAAAATAAATTCTGGAGAAATAAATGTGTTATGGTCAAGGCTTTCCTGGCAGACGTCTGACAAAGATATTTGGGGCAATGCAGATGGTCAGACCTGTTGGTTATGGCACTTCTTTCATACGTAATTGCAGATAAATATTTTGCCTCCTATCCAAGCATAAAATATTCTGTGTGCCTATGAAATGCACAAAGCTGTTACAGACTAAAACATGAAGGAAAAGTAGCAGAGGGGAGGAAACCAGAGGACAGGGGAGAAAACCCACGCGACTCTACTCCTTGTCACATACAACCGGGGAATAAAAACCACGCCTGTTGACTCAAAGGCAGACCTTATGATACTGCGTGCACATGCTAACTATTCATCCAACCAACGCCCCCTCAAAGAAGCAAAGGAATTAAATGGGACTTAACTTCTTGTCAAGAATCTACTAGGATCATTTTAAGTCTAATCTTTGTTAATTTATATGTCTTCTAGTGGTAACATGTGTAATGCAAGGAGAATAATTCGTTTTTATACGCCCCCAATGGAATGTAGTTGTATATTGTCGTCACCCTGTACATCGGTTCGGCGTCCACCCTCTAGATACTAAAGTTAATATCATATTGACTTATAATTTTTACAGAATGTTTAAGGTCATAAAACGAAGAAGTCTAACAATTTTCATTGATATCCGATAATTAAGGCCAGAGTTATGGCCCATGATCACTTTGAAATATCTTGTGGACACTCTAGATGCTTAAGTCATTATCGGATTGACTTTAAATTTATACACATTGTTTAAAGTCATAAGACCAGGAAGCCTATTGATTTTTCAACGATTTCCAAGAATTACTGTCCGAGTTATGACCCTTGATCCCTTGTGGATGCTCTAGATGCTCAAGTTTATATCCGATTGACTTTAAATTAATACACACTATTAAAGGCCATGAGACTAAGATGCCTATTGATTTTCAATCATTTCCGATGATTACTGCCAGAGTTATAGCCCTTGATTTTCATTGATTTCCAAGAATTACTGCCAGAGTTATGGCCCTTGATCACTTTTAAATACCTTGTGGATGCTCTAAACGCAAAAGTTAATATCCAGTGGACTTTAGATTTATACACAGTCTTAAATGTCATGTGACAAAGAGGCCTATTGATTTTCACAATTACTACCAAAGTTATAGCCCTTGATATTAAATGTTTTGTATAGTAAACATTAGTATAGGGCAGAACTAGAAGCCAAATGAGTTGTTACTCATACTTTAGTAAGTTGTAAATATTTTGATTACTGAAAAATGTAAAAATATGCAACCCTTGTTGACCGCTCGGACCTTTTAGCTGATGTGGGCATGTTTCGTTGCCTGGCAACCTATCATTTTATTTGCAATACCAATTTGTACATGGGACCTTTTTTTTTGTCGCATCTGAATTACTAGACACACATTTCTTGTCAGCATTGATGAAGAATCACCTTACTACTGAGAATGGGTCTTAAAATTTCCTTCAGATTTTTTGTAAACTGACGATGGGATCCGGATATTCTGTATGTAAGTCCACTGTTTTAACAACAAAAATAAACGTAAAGCCACTACATAAAATAGACTCTTTATTGCAGATAGTAACAAATTACACACTGCAAACAACAACACATTATATAGTTTCTAAAACAACAAAAATGCATTGGAATTGATGTATTAGGAATGAAAGAAATAATTATGCATATTCTGTGTGAATTCCAGTGATCCAGTAGTGTAGGCAAAATGTATATATATATATAATAATCTAAATACTTTAATGTACATTAACAGAGCTCTATAAAATACATAACCTGTGTATAAATTGCTACACTGTGAAATCTGACAACATCTATTCTAGCTCTGTCTATATTGAGAAAGAAAAGTAGTATATTGTGTCTGCAAATAAGACATAAGTCACAGAAAAGTCACATTAAATATCATTCACCTTTGTTAATGACTCTTCAACAAGAACTACTCCAATGAGGTAAGGCCCCACTCTGTTACAGAGAAAATGGGAAATATGGTACTGGAAATTTTCTTTGTAATTTTGAAGTATGTATAAATTAAGTAACAATCATTACCCAATTTATGTTTAATACTTCTGTTCTTACAGTAACTCACCTCGATGAAAGATATGTTCAAATTTCACTATCATATCTTTGATAGATCAAGTCATACTTGTAGATAAACAAGTGTATGTCACAATAAATATGTCTTCCTGACCTCATCAATTTAGGCAAAGACCAAATAAAATAAATGTCTGTTTAGAAATATTTAAAAAAATTTTTTTACAGTTACCTAGCCCAAAATGAGACTTTTTCCTGATAGCTGTCATTTCCCAATTGTAAATAAGATACATACAAAAATTAAAATACAAAAGTAATTGCAATGCCTTTTAGATAAAATGTCAGTAAAAGAATAAAGGTGAATGTGTAAAAGACAACTTTATAAAAAGGAGGATTAACTGTCAATCATTATAGACACAGCTTGTATAATATCGTACATTTGTGGTATACATTTTCCTATGCGCTGACTAAATGGTACAAGTCTAAAACTTATATAGTATGTATTTCCCATATTAATATTTCAAACAAAAATATATGACAACATGTTTTTGATCAGGATTGACATATACATGTACAGTATTTACGATCAGTGGAAGGCGGCTTAAAACCTAAAAGCCCCAAATACTATAGTTAAAGAATTAATTACTATAGTCTAATATTTTGTTTGAAGTGGATTAAATAATTAACAAACAAACAAACAGCAGATTAAAAGCTACCCGATTTCTGAAATTGTCAACAGGACCCAAATTTAACTGATTACATTCCCGATATAATTTTAAAGCAACTATCTTTTCTATGGTTGATCTGTAACAAAAAGTTATACCGGTAGTTACATATTGAGTAACAGGTACATGTAGGTCTATTGAAATCAAATAAATTTTTAAAAAAGTAACTATAAATCACAAATCTATATTCATTTCCCATCCGACATAAACTGAATGTTTTCTTGGTGTGGAGCTGACAAGTTGACTTGTTACTATTGTTTACTTTACTCCAACAATATAACTACTCTCCATTATTTACATCACATCTGGAAATTATGTGTAGATGTAACAGATCAACCATAGCAACCATGTCAAAAATTAAATTTTGCACATACATCTGTAGGGGTCTTAAGCAGTGGGAGGACCCTGAGAAAACCCATGAGGTTGGACAGGCAATTGAAACCACGCCCACTTGATTCAATAACATACCTTGTGATCCAACGCACACGCATAACCATTCACCCCCACCCCCATGGTTTTTTACACAGCAGCGTAGAGTGGGATAAATCAAAACCAAATAAAAGATTGTGAGGAGTAAGAATGAATTTGAGTCCTGATATGAGACAGTTTAATTACAGTATACAGAGGATTAAAAATCAAAACAAAGAATAAAATATATCCAAATTCAAATCGATCACAATATTCAAATAGAAATAAAAAAAATATTTAGGTTGCCGTGAGGCAGTGAAATATGTGCCCACTTAAAGGTATGTAATTATATGACTGACTAATAAAAACAATAAGCTCTATGGTGGATTTTGAGGGCACGGCACATTTTTATTTATAAGTATTCTGAACAAAAATACATGTACATGTAGCCTAAATCAACTCCATAGAACATTCATCTACAAACAGAAAGATATACATGTAACTATATTTTCGCAGTTGAAAAATATTAAATGTTGATAGGTTTATTTCTGTGTAGGAAAAAAAGGATATCAGAGAATGCAATTTGTAACAATATGAATTGCACATTAAATATTACTATTGTAGCAGTATTCCAAAATTTTCATTTTCTTTAAAATTTACATTTGACCCTTTTTAAAAAATAACGGTATGTATTAAAAATAGCAAAATTTACTTTTGTTATTTGAGTGTTGCTGATTTACGAAGATGGCGAAGCTAAGAATGCACGTTTCATCAATATTTTTATGCAACCAAAAGCACAAGCGCCAGGATAAAGTTTATCAGGCATAATTTCTATTTGACCATTAGTTAAGTTCATAATAATCAAATCATCATATGTTCCGGTATCCGAGGGGTACCTTGTCTCACCTCCCAAAATAATTAAAGAATTTTGATGAGAAGAAACACCAAAATTATAACGATCAAAATTAGGAATGGTGGCAACAGGACACACAGCTCCATCCTCTAATACTTTTAGAACACTCCCATTGGTTAAAACAACTAAACTGTCATCATTAATACTTAATGCACGACTCTCTGTAACAGGAGAACTAAATGCAGAAATAATACTTGATGTTCTAAGATTGACGTCAATCATTTGAATTTCATGACACATACGACTTGACTGACCACGCCCACCAAATATGAAAATTTGTTCTTTAAGAACTGTTGATGAAATGGAATAGACGCCCAATTGTAGGTCACCAAAATCCGACCATGTGTGATCAATAGTGTTGTATGTGTCAATAGATTCCAGGGCACCATTGTTGCGATTACAGCCGCCTATAACATAGAGGTTGTCCTTGATTGACACCATTGCATGATAACTTCTACGTTTCACCATATCTGGACATGACCGCCAGACATTTGCATCACTAATATACTGAAGCAGGTAGCTTTTTCTTCCGGATCCTCCTGATATAAACACATCATTGTTACATGTACACACAGCAAAACCAACACCTGGATCCAAGGGTAGTGACTCTAGTGCAAACCATGTCTTTTGTTGAAAACTGTAGCCATTTACCCTCGGTAGAACACAAGAGGAAACTTTAACACCAATGGTTATTAAAATCTCTTCAAAATTTCTCGGTGATGGACCAGTACCATCTCCAAAATGAAACTTTGATCGTTGTTCAATACTATTGCAAATTAACGGAATGCATTCTTTTAATTCAGAGCTTGCTTCACAGAAAATCTTAGTCATTTTCAGAAATTCGTTAGAAACAAACTTCAAACGAACAGAACCAAACAAGATTTTTGCATAGCTATATCTGTCTTCACTGTGACCCAGCCATCTTATAACAGATTCACAGACAACATCTTCATTCTGTATCCTTAAATCATCACTGATCAAAAGGTCAGAGAGGTCATCAAAATCTGATGCTAAGAATTCAGCTTCCTTACTAACACTTTCATAATTACTTGTAATGAATTCTCTTGTTTTTTTGTACAACATTTGGCTGTTCAGGCATTTTGCTAATTTTAAGATTTCCCAAGCATTTTCTGAAGTGAGTTGAGCAAGATAAAAGTCTTCACATTTTTCAATAAGACAATTCATTTGTAAAATTGAAGCTGCTCGTAAAAGATCCTCAGCATTTTCAGCAGTGACAACAGAATCTTTTCCATTATAATAAAAAGATAAAATATCACGAAATAGCGAGCCACTAATAAGCTTATCATCTATACACACGCGACCATCCAGACTTTCTCTCATACCAGACAAAAACATGGCACGAAAGTAATCTGATATAGCACAAAGAAATACTTTATGACAGTGAAAAACTTCCCCCTCAACATGGATCTGGGTGTCTGTAAAGGTTCCAGATGAGAAGTATTTTCCAAAACCATCAAGTACTGAGACTGCTATTCTTCCCTCCCAGTCCCTGCTCATCAATGTAGCTGCCATATTGTTTGAGTTCTATAGTCTTGACTTATATATTAATAGTATCATCTGAAATAATCAAAAGAAATTTAATTAAATCCAAATTATTAACACAGGAACATTGCCTATGTTCTGTGCTTGATCTGTAAAACCTCTGCAGATTGCCAGATAATGGTCTGCAGTTGATCAAATCAAATCAAATTAGGACATTTTACTGAATGCTTTATGATAATTAAGAGATGCAGTATCACAGTTCCCGGAAAGAATAAGCATTGTCATAGACCTGTGTGTACATGTGTACTTGAATTTATTTATCTATGTATGTGTGGCATTTAAGTTGCATCATTCCATAAAACAAAGATCGATTGTCATTCATTCAATTTCCTCCAAACCAAACTACAATGTCATTTAAGCACATAATCATCTGACACAATCTTATCTGATATCAATTGAACTTGAAGCACACCCAAGTCACAAAATGGACAAAGCTACTCCAATAGCCGACCAAAATATGTGATTTAGAGAGACTAACAGGATGGTAAGTCTTTAACACAAGTGAAAAATGGTATTAGACTCAAAGATAATAGTTGCTGTTGTACGTAAATATTCTTGCCACATGGATATATTTAATTAATTAACCATAAAGATGGCAATCACTCAATGACAAATAATATTGAAATAAATGTACAGGTATAAAATCATTTTCTCTTTTTTTTCTTCAGACGCTGCAGGCATTAATAAATGAAATAAATTGGAAAGTGAAATTTAATGGACACAATAGTAACTAAAAACAAATCCATCTAAACGTTTCTCGTAGCTACGTTATCATGATCAGTAGACGAGACACGAAGAAATATCACCAATGATCCAATGACATTAATTCCGATTGAAGGAAGTACCTTTGCAGTCAGCTAGCAAAGCAAACAAAAGACAAAAATTATGAAAATTTTACAAGAATAGGTACATACCTTATGGTTTTCACAAGTGACTGATATAAGAGTTAATTACTACAAAAAAAACCAACGTAACAATCGGAATTTCTTCTCTCAAACATCGTAGTTTTGTTTACTACCGGAAGTTTACAAGATTTTATTACAAGCAGTTGTCTCCCTTGGTCAATTCAAATTTAACATTGAAATTCCAATCTGAAAAACGAATTAATATAGATTTTAGCTCAAATTATCATAAAACGATTTAATATAGATTTCAGCTCAAATGATCATAAAATTATCCAAGAGTTTAAAAATACGAAATACAGGATAGCGCACCCATTGGTCTATAAAAAGGTGGAAAAATGTATCCTTTTACATAATATATTATAACTCTTTTAAAGGCTCAATACCACTCTTGTTGTAACTGAATAATGTGTCCCAATCTGTATTCTGGTCAACAAATTGTACTATTTTACAATATTCCAATTAATTAATGATACAAATTTCAGCTTAACACACCTTATTTAACAATTTAGAAAAATTCAACATATGGTTTGAAACGTCTAACGTAAACCTTTTCAAATGAAACTTCGATTTAAAAATATTTCCGAACCCTCTGGACAAGTAAAATAGGATGTAATGGATAATTTACACAACAGGTAGGACACTTAAACATCTAGTACTTAGATAGAGATATTATTTATTTTCTGGAGCTTTCAAGCCAGCAAGAGTGTTATTGTCCCTTTAATTTTCTAATTTTTAATTCCGTCATTCGTCAATCACGTGACAAAGGTATTTTGTCATGTGACTTTAGCCTTTTCGTGCGTGGATCGCAGCAGACGTCAATGTAGACAAGCATTTTACAATACAGTAGCACTAGCAGGCTTCCGGCGACTTATTTACCCCAAAATAGTAATTTTACAAAATCAAACCCAACTTGTCTGTCAGGCATTTGTTGTAGGATTATTAGACTGGCATTAATTTCTAGTAAGTAGAAAAGAGGTAAAAATAGCCCAGTCTAGGCCCTATGGCTATGGCCTAGCCTCTGCCTAGGGTTAGGGCTTGATGCTACAGTAGATTCGATAGTTTGTTTAGCCCGTAGTCAAAGTCAGTGTAGATCAGATTTTATACATATAGTATTATTAATACTGTTTGCTATTGAAATGAAATGGGGTTTAACGTCCTACTGCTCTGCTCCGAATTGGGCTAATGAAGACGGGCACAATGCCATACACTTTATTACACTCGACTCAGTGTTCCCTATGGGAAATTTTGCTCGGACAGCGCACTACGAGCACGGCTTACCCATGATAATGTATCGAATTCCATCTGTCAAGAGATCTTTTACGTGCACGCCAATGTGTACACGGGATCTCGGTTTTTCGTCCCATCCGAACGAGGACTAGACAGCTGCCCTTATCATCAGGACCTCACGTCCTGCATCCCTGACAAGGGGGAACCACACCGGAAAAGCTGGATTGTAGGCTACTTTCTCGGCCAATGCAGGGATCGAACACTCGTCCAGGCTATCGAGCCGGCGTCTTATCCACTTAGCCACCGTGACCCCCGTTTGCTATTGACGTCCACAGGAATTATATAGCCAGACCATAGACTCGCACGTAACTAACGTACGAAAATTAAATGGTAGGCCTAGGTGGGCCTGTCGTTCAGATTGACCATATATATTGTCCATACTGTCTTACTTTACGTCTTTAGTTCGAGTCTCTACCCGGTTAGATTCGGCCTCATTTTGTAAATTTAGTGTGAACGAAACATTCAAACTAGGTCCTACCTATTATCTGAGGTAGGTCCAACAACAGGTTACTGGGATATCACTGGTAGTAATTAGGCTGGTAGGAGAACTTCGGACTTAGTGAGCTGAGGAAAAAAATCCGAAAAAGATAATTCTTGCTTTTTAATGAAAGGTCTTAGTAAGTACAATCAGGGATAAAAATCCACCAAAATCGGCCTTGGTCAAAAAAAGTTACAGGCGTTCTGCGTTCTGGTTTTCGCACCCATTTGACTTATAAAATCCACGATTTTTATACGCCCAGATTTTCATATGGACATATCTTGTCGTCGCCCCTGTCCTTCCGCCCGCCCGTCCGTCCACAATTTGAAATATAGGTCTATCTTCCAAAGATCTCGGTTCCTTTCCAAATTGGCATGGATTATGGCCCTTGATAACTTGATTGTACGAAAAATTACGTTTTTAGCTTGTGGACATTTTGATGAAACTTGAAATGGAATATGGCCCCTGATGGTACCAAAAATCGCCCTTTCGCTTGTGGTCCCTTTAGAGGACACAATTTTTATCCGATTAAAAAAAAACCGTTCGAATATATCCCCGTTACACCATAATGATGGTGGAGTTCGAATTTAGTGAAAATATCAACAAAGCTGCCGGACAAAATGGCCGCTTCTCGTATGCAAATAGTGTAAAAGTATGTAATACCAAGGTTGTGGACACTCTACAAGTCACAATTTTAATCCGATTTTAAAAAATCAAAAAACGTTTACATATGTATCACCGTTACGCCCTGATGATGGTTGAGTTCGAATTTCGTGAAAATTGAAAAACCGGCTGGTACTTGTACGCAGATAGTGTAAAAGTATGTAATAAAAATACCAAGGTTGTTGACCCCTAGAAGTCACAATTTTTATCCGATCTTGACGAAACTTAAAATATATGTTTATATCCAAAGGATCTCGATTCCTTTCGATATTGTTGCATATCAGACCGTAACTTCCGGGATTAAGGCCCCTGATTTCTACAAAAAATCGCCTTTTTTTTTAGCTTGTTCTCTATCCATCTCTTGCAAAATGTGGGCGTATCTTGCCTGGCAACCGCTGGTTCTAACTTTTCGTCACTTTTTTCGATATGCTGGGAATATTTTTGTGCATCACAAATGCCTTTCCGCTATTAAACCATTGACAAAATCAGTAAATTCTAATGTTGGGAAATTCTAATTGTAAAGACATCCATTTATTAAGCTAAGCAGGCTAGATCAGCGCATTTACCAACTGCATGAAGTTTGTTGCATCATGTTCAGCACCGTCACGTGCATCAGAGGTGCCAATTGTCAGATATTTTCAGCGGTGGTGTAAACTCGTCAGGTGTCCCAATTGTCCCACCCCACCCCACTAGCTCATTTACTAACCACACGAAACATGTTGCAAAATGTCCAGCAAAATCACAAAAAAGATCACCTCCAGACATTTTCAGTGGTGGGGTATCCCCGCCGGGCTGAGCGATTTACCCACTACCACTACTACCCGAAACTAAGCACTAGGTCTACCCAATACTACCTCATTATTGTTGGAAACTAATGTAATACTTCAATTATGTTGGGTAGTATTGGGTAAACTTTCCGCCGACCCATCCAGACGTTCCTGTTTCCCCACACCAAAGGCTAAGTCAGATGAGCCCATTTACTTATCGCACGAAACATGTTGCAAAATGCTCAACATAAGAATGGCAAGGCAGATGTTTTCAATAGTTGGGTATCCCAGCCAGAAATCTAATTGCTCCATCCCAAAACCTAAGGTACATTACCAAATGACTAACGTATAAAATGTAACTGAAAACTATCAACATATTCCAACGATCATCATAAATGGCCACTCCCATGCATTTTCAATGATAAATATCCCTGACACGCGGAACGTACAAACAGAATAATTGACACGCCTCGCTAATGTAACTCTTTATCGCGAGAACGAACGCATCTCTTGATGACCTTAATCACCTTAATGATTCTGATCATGAACGCTTGATCATGAATCCAGTTCTGATCCACTGACCAGACGACAACGTATACTGGTCTTTTTAGCTGCTCACTGACTATTGACGTACCTTTTACAGAACATTTCAGGTATGTCACATGACACAGTTGTATAAATCACAGGTTACTAAGATGTTTATTTCGATACCGATTCTTTCGTCGCTATTAAGGTACACGAAAAACACATCAAATTATCTGAAGTTCTGTGCCACCAGCTCGCCTCCAATTAATTCTGATACATATAACATACTTCGCAACAGATTAAAGCCAATGCCAATCTATACATCCTTGTGAAATGCAACCGTACCAGTAATATCAACCAACTAAAATGTACCCCAAGAACCTGCTATATCTCAGGCCCCGAGTTCACAAAGCATTCTCAGACTAAAGTTAAGAATTTACTCAACTTCCAATCACTGTTTATGAGAAATTTCTTTGATCCAGAAACACAAAACTTTGCACATAGTTTCTTATTGATGTATTTAATACATTAAAACAACAAAAGTTTTATGAAGGGCTATATTTTAGTTAAAATAAGGCGAACAATTTTGAGTAAATTCTTAACTTCAGTCTGAGAATGGTTTGTGAACTACTAAAACTGTTATCAATGTTAGCCCCCTCACAGGTGACAACCCAACAACCACACCTAATGAGAACACAGAGACCTCAAATAACTTAAGAAAGATGGGACCCATCACCACCGTATCTGCGGACAAGGAGACTGTAGCTGCAATAATGAATACACTCAACTACGCCAGCATTGTCAACACTTTTTAAGACCAAACAACACGTGGGTAGCCCCATTTCTGCTCATCAAACTAAAGACCCGAAATCCACCCCAAGCCAGGTTACACCCTTACGCATCCACTGATCACTCGTCCCCCCCCCCCCACACACACACCCCCCCCTAACAATACCCGACCGCCCCGTTTTATGACTTTCCCTCTATTATAATCCCTTCCGCTCATTCTGCCTTCCATGCTCTTTCAACCTATCTTATCAACTACCAACATTATCAATTTTATACCAGACATAAAATACTCCTCCGGTCACCTTACCCCCGCCTCCCCTCACACATCCCCGTGGTTCCCATCTTATTCCCGTCCTACACAGTTTACACTTTCCATTTTAACCGCCTGGCCCTTCCATGCTACCCCTCCTCCGTCCACCTTAAATCCAGTTTTTAATCGAAGTTGGATAATTTGCTTGTGATCTACCCTCCAATTGTTATACTCCCACATTTCAGTGTGGACGTATTATATCGTTACCCGGTCCGTTGGTCTACCCGTCGATAATTGACTTGTGAACGCGATATACAGACTATGTCTTTAATTAATCGATTCTTTTTAAATTTGCGTTAAGCATTGTGGCTATATGAGAGGA